ATTATAATAACCATCAAATACAATATAACAAACGTTACAATAAATAAACACGATATTGTATTAATAGTTTACTATCTGACGAATTGAGATCTTCGCAATGTGGCCTGCTGTACATAATTGCTTAAGGCTTTCCAGTTAGAACCCTTTAAGAAACCAAATAATTCTTCTGGAGAACAGGTCCGCTGCCCAAAACATTTCTTTCTTAACTCACTCAACATGTGGCAAGTCCTCCAAAAGTGAATGATATCCTCTTTTTCTTGATAGTTACATACCAGAAAGCAATCGATTTCCCCCACCATCCATTGTTTTACGCTTAAATCGAGCAATACCCTCTTACATCGAAAAATTGACCATATAGTCACGATGTTAAAACTATCATTAAGATAGGATGTAACAACAGTGCCCACTGAACATAGTCCTGCGTAAACAGAGAAGCTTGAATGAAGACATTTTTGAAGGTTATTTTGTTTTTTAAGTCCTCTACCCTATGTCTAACAACAGTCAATTTTCCGAGCAGACAAGCGATATTTGCAGTATAAAGATTAGTTTTACAACTATCCTCGAATTCTAACCACTTTTGGTACCAATAAACTCTTTTAGTTGTCACCCCTTTAGCTAGGATATGTGGCAAACGAAAACCCGGATTCTCCAGCACTTTCAAAATATAGTCGAAATGAATTTTAAGTGGGTAGGAGTATATCGAGGCTATACCGGTTTCGTGTGCCACAAAATATAATTAGGGACGCAGTAATTTTTTTTTACTATTTTTTAAAATTTTCCAAAACTTCAAAGGGTTCGAAACCCCAAACCTGCCCAGCATAAACAATCACCGCCCGAGGGACCGAATTACAAACCACTATATTAAATTACATAAAATTAGATGAGATTAATGAATCAGATCTAAATTAGAATAATTATAATAATATAACTTGGCGATAAGCCGCGTTATATGATATAGATTTTTTTTAAAATTAAAAATTTGTTCTAACTGTGGTTTCGTTCGGTTTATGAATAAATACAAAACTTAATATTCATATAAATTTTATAACAGCTAGACAATAGAAAATTCCGTCTGTCGAGTTCTGTAGCACCTATCTACAAAATATGTTCAATTTCATTTAATATAAATTAATGAGCAATGATATTTTTACATTATTATTATTAACACTTTAAACAAAATTTCCAGTTCTCCACTCTTCGAAAAAGAATTATTATTATTATTATTTTTTTTTTTTTTAAAACATTAAAAGTTAGCTAAACTTGACCAACAACCAATAAAACAATAATTAATAATAGTTCGTGGTACAGTCCTCTTTGTATCAATTTACTAACATCCGTCTGAAACTTCGTAAATAGTATCATCTCATCGTAACCTAACAATAATTTGTTTACGAAAATTCTCGGAGTGTTTTCAATCTAGGGGTTGGCAACCTTTGTCTATTTAATTACATACTAAAAACTCGTAAATAGTCATTTGCTTTCCACTTTAATCGTAAGATAACTTGAATACAAAGTCGAGAAAATTATTAAGTCGTTTGGCGTGACCTATAATCCCAAATTGTAAAAATGTCGAGGTTATATAGACCAAACGACTCAATATTTTTTAAGGTTTCCATTTTTCTCGACTTTGTGCTCAAGATATCTTACGATTAAAGTGGAAAGCAAACGGGTATTTACGAATTAAATAAACAAAGTTTATCGACCTCCAGATTGAAAAAGCCACAATTCCAAAAATTTTCGTAAATAAAATATTTGTAGGTTACGATGAGAAGAAGCTATTTACGAAATTCAGCCGGATATTAATAATTCGATAAAAAGGAGTCTGTGCCACGGACTATAATGATAAATAGTAAATACATAAATAGATAAAATACCTTTCTATAATAAATAATAAACAAAAACAAATACTATCCATAACAAAGACATCTCACTAAACACTCACAAACTAACTAACTGGACTCTTTGTAATGTGGCTTGCTGTGTATAATTACACATGGCTTTCCAATTAGCACCTCTACATAGACTTAAAAATTTCTCCGGAGAACATGTCTGCCAACCAAAATATTATTCCCTGATCTCACTAAAGATATAACGAGACCCCAGTAAGTGCATTATAATGTGTATAATTCCCCCCGGAATTACAAACCGGACAATTATCATTACCCTCCTGCACTGAACTTATAGATACAAGACCAAAACTGCCATTGAGATAGGATGATACAAAATCCCATAAACCCGCAAATAAAGAAAAACGCTTCAAATTATTTCTAAATGGTTTACTATTTCCAAACAATTATATATCTAAAGTAACATTACCTTCCGAGTAAAAAAGAAAAAGAAATAAAAGGTGATTGCAATAATTGACCTAAACATTTGTTTTCATCATTAGTAATTTGCTAAAAAAAATAGCATTACTTCATTAAAACATTCAAAAATCAAAATACAAAACAAAGGATACAATCTTTGCAGTAGAACATGCATACAACTAGAGACCATATCTTTGCTCCAAATTGTCCTATTTTAACGATTTTTTTAGGAAGTTTTATTAACTTTAAAATTAAACTTAAAATTACTATATATCATATCAACAAAAAAGTGTATACTTTTTGAGTTATTCAGAATCTAATTTCACCACCTCTCGTGACTTTTTGTTGCTTCTTTTCGTTGAAGTATGTTATATAGTTAAAGTTAAAGGGCTTTGAGAAGAGGACTTGAGCCAAATTTCATTAAAATCGGTACATTCGTTTAGTTTATAGCAACGCAAGTTTTTCGGCAGCCATCTTGAAAGGAAAAGACGGATCATTCTCGAGTGACCTCTGACTTTAAATCCAAAGTTGAATAAAAAAAATCGGTCCAGTAGTTACAGAGAAAACGCTCGGACGGCGGAAGGACAAAAAAAATTGTAAACGTTTTTCGAATTCTAAGTATCCTGAAACGTAAAACCTCAAATTTTGAGAAGGGGGGGTTAAGTTTTTGAAATTTTTGTTCAATCACAATTGTTCATTATTGAAAATAATAAACCAAAATTGGACTGCAGACGTTTTTCGAGATTGAATTGTTTTTCTGATTTTTTCAATCGTATGTTTAACTGGATCAAATTTTCACGTAGGTCAACGGTATTGGAATATCAACCTTAATATGATAAAATTCCTCTAATTCCAACCACTTTCGGTATCAAAAAACTTTATTTTTGATCACTTCTTTTGTTAGAATGCGTAATAAACGGAAATCAGACTTCTTCAGAACTTTTAAAATGTAATCAAAATGTATTTTTAGCAAATAAGCGTATATCCGTCTCATGCGCCAAAATATAATTAGGTGCATACCTCAGGAAGAGTAACAATTTTTTTTTTTTTTTTTTTTTAAATATCGTTTATATTTTTCCAATACATCATATTGCTGGAAACTCCAGACCTGCCCAGAATAGTTAACCATCGCCCGTGACTGCCTTATATTCTTCTAATTTACTTGTATAGAGGACATTTTTGCAAGCAATAAAATTATGACACGCAGAATTCAACGTTCGGATTATTTTATGTTGATGAAAAATAATCTGAACTACAGAATACATGTAAATTACAGTTATAAAATGTATGCAAGAGTAGTGCAATTAAATGAAGAGTTGTATAATTTGTAAAATGGGGGTTGGTCATAGGGTACTTTTTTTTTTTCTATTTTTATAGCCATATATATAAAAGTATCAATCAATCTTTATTTGTTTTGAGGGAAGAACCATATTAAAATGGAGTCTATGACAAAATAACAAACATTATTAAGCTTCTGGAAATACTAATTCCTTTTTACACTACATAACAGACATTACTACACTCTTAAGCATAAATTAAAAATCCTATTCGGTGAAGGTCAGACAGTTAAAATAGTTTCAATTACCAAATTAATGTAAAATCTAAAATTGTCAGTAATATACATAAAGAAATACACATAAAACAATAAATAAAAGTTTTTTAAAATAATAATAGTAAACTATGTTTTAAAATTAAATTAAAAGATTATCTCTATACCAAAGAGAACAACCAAGAAAAATATCCGGCCAGATCACATGCCGATGTACAATATGGAATTCACATATATAGAAGTATTCATCTACTATTAAATCTGGTCACTTGAGCTAAAGTATAAAAACTAATTATCTTACAGATCTACTGCGAAATACGTTTTGTTTTCGGAATCTCAAGAGACACGCATATTACCCAGTATTACAAAAAGTTGAAGTGGCTCTATCCATCCAACCGCCGTCTGTACTTCCTTGCTACCTTTCTATACCAAGCCGTCAGAACTCAGCGACCTTCCTATATTTTTCACAGCCTACAATTTAAATATTCCATTCAATCCCGTCCCACTAGATCCCGTACTTCTGACCTCTATACATCTCCTCACCGAACTGCTGCGTTTGAAAAATCCTTTATAATTCAAGCCGCCTCCACCTGGAATACCATCCCTCCCGATATCCGACATGCGCGATCAGTTTCCTCATTCAAATCTCTCCTTTTTAAACACCTACTTCTTTCCCAACCCGATTGATCATAATAACTTTTTAAGTTCCCCAGAAATGGTTTTGTTTAATTATATTATTTTATTTTCACACATTAGTATTGTATATATCACTATGTATTTAGTGTTTTTGTTTTATTTTTCTTCCAATATTTTTAATTTAATGAGTATTGTAAATATTTAATTTAATTGTATGGCCACACAGGCATTTCCTCTGTATCTATAATTTATCCTAAAGGGACAAAAGTCCCAGGATAATAAAAATCTATTTTCATTTCATCTAAGCTAATCCTATCTCTTTTTATATCTATTACACAAAAAGATCGTGCGGCTCATATATTTGAAAAATGAGAAGTTTGAATGTGAATGAGGTGTCTATATCGCTGTCGCAGTAAATAGTTATACAATAATTATAATTTATTGTAATCTTCTGTCTCCAAGATCCTCGATATACAAAAGACGCAGCCTTGAGCCACCATCAACAAGATAGATATAAACCCTTCCAGGTAGCAAGTTGTCATCAGTTTTCCACGATGGTTCTGTTTTCAGTTCTCTACTTAGTACTTTGGCCAGCTAGCTCTTTGGCTGCTCTTCGTAAGTACTTTAGTATTAGTGTATCATAGTATAGAAGTGTGTGATTACTGTATATGGATTGTTGAGGGAGGAGGCAATGTAAAAAGTGGGAGTTTTCACTAAGAAGTACAAATTCTATATAATTATTATGAAACGAAAACAACGATAATATTGAATATTTTTGGTAGGTCGAAAGACCTACCTGAGCCTGTGCTGAGAACAGTATAATCAAGGGTTGGCGCCACAGTGCTGGGGAAATCTTTTAAATTTCTGCACACATCCTCAAGCCCGAAAAAACCGAGTAGGGCCGAGCGGGCTCACGCGTGTGCAACCTGATAATACAAGTTATAAGATAAAATAATTACAAGTTCGCGTCCCGGTGCCAGAGGAGCTTTTAACTGTCATGAGGATCTCCTCCTTAAACTTTAGCTTAAATCACCCATCTATACATCTGAATAATTTGTAGTCGCCATCTTTCATCAGGCTGTTAACCAGGAATCATAATTCCTTGGTTTGAGAAGTAGAAGTTTCTGACGATATTTATTTTTTTATTTTACCAGTTTGGTATAGTTGTAATTTATATTCTTCCACTTCGGCCTTGTACACTATTTGGTACATTGGAAATAGATATACAGGATTAATCCATTCCTGTGATGATGTTATTATTATAGTGTGTTGTGCGTTTCTATTTAAGTTACTAAATACTACTAACTAAGTCTCAAAAAAGTATTAATCAATCTATATTGACAATGCTGGTTACACTAGCGGATCCTGCCAGAGGGAATAAAAATATTATTCAAACAGAAATATAGGGAAAATTCATCCTCATAGGTGAATTTTCTAATGTAATATAAAAGAAATTATTAATGTGACCAGCACAAGTGTTTTCAGGCGAGGGTACCCTCCCCTTCCTGGATCGTGGGAAAATAATTCCGATAAAAAGTTCCAAAAATATAGTCGAAATTCATCCTCTAAGACGAATTTTATGAATAATTTTAGATTTCGCAGTTTGGTTGCCGGTACTGCAGTAATACCACATAAGTGGCACTCATTCTAAAAATAGTTTAAACATTTGTAAATATGGTAAAAATTTGTTTTAACTGTAAGAATAACTTTAGAAATACTAAAGGAATCATGACAAGGAATCCTGCCAGTAAAAAATAATCAGTTCTTTTGAACACCATTCCAACTATGAAATATTTGCTGTTTGTTCTGATGTTAAGTAGTAATATTTCTTTCCCGAAAAATATTTAGCTAACCATCCCTAAATGTTTAAAAATTAGTAATTAACTGTACAATATATAAAGCTTTGTTTTGAAATCTTTTGATTATAACGTTATTATAATATATTATCTTTTTTTACTTGTCTCTCATTATTTGTATTTATACTATTATTGTTTTAACAGCCCGAGATTGGCAAGCTTGCAAAGTTGGATCTAATGATTGTATTTTGAAGTCTGTTAATGCTGCTCTGCAATCTTTGAAGAATGGTAAGTGGATCACGAGATGAGTTGGTAAAATTTTAATTTGTTTTTAAAAAAACACAATATAAAAGTAAAAAAAAAAATGGAAAAGCAATATAACACCAAAATAACTATAAAATTAAAAACAATTGAACAAGGTTCAAAAAATTTTAAAATGAAAAAACTAACTTCATATTTGGGTTCAGCAAGCACTCTAAAAAGGAGGTATATATTTTGTTTTACTTCAGTAAAATTCCTCAGATGGACAGAGTACACCTTGAAATAATGTGGTTCCAAGATCCAAGGTCCTTCCGAGGTATCCAAACTATGTCTCATGAATCTTTCTTTATTTATTATTATTATTATTATAAGGGTGCTACGGTCCTGCAAGAAGCCGGACCTCCTTTACTACAGCCAACCAATCTCCACAGTCTTTGCTGCTTCCCTCCATCTTCGAACGTCCAGCTACCTCAGTTCGTCCTCAACATCCTCTAACCATCTGATCCGAGGGCGCCCTCTACTTCTTTTGCCATCTGGCTTCTCATGCATCATCCTCTTTGGCATTCTTTCCACCCCATATTCTTCTCAATACTTTCCTCTCTCAGAAGTTGTGCATGGAAACCACTGGCCCTTACTATAGTTTTGTATATGAGAATTTTGTTTCTTTTAGAGAGTGATCTGAAATTCAAGTCTCTTTGCAGTTAGAAATAGCATCTATTTCCTGCTGCAATTCTGGCATTTTTTTTACTCTCTATTTTAGTATTGCTTGTGACCAGGCTTCCAAGGAACTTGAACAGGTCAACAGGCTTAAAGTTGTGTTAAAGCTATTTCTGTACTCATTTCCTTTTCCATTTTTGAATTTTTCATATACACCGTCTTATTTTCATTAACTCTGTCTAAGGCCCAGTTTAGCCGCTGATTCTTTGAATGCTGCTTGGGTTTTAGAGATAATGGCAACATCATCAGCATATGCCAGATTTTGAGACATATGATTGTGGATTGTTCCTCCTGGATTTAGAACCAATAGTCACTTCCAGAGCAAGATTAAAAAGAAGGGAAGATAAAGGATCATCCTGTCTCAATCCATTATCCACCTCAAATTCTGCAGGCAAATCTTTCTTTAATTACAAGATAAAATTTTAAAAATGAATTAAATTATATGAAATTTAGTAAATCACTCAAACACAACTTTATTACATGAGTTTTTCTCTTAGAAAGCTCATTTCAGCTGATGTGTCATTCACAGAAAAAGCTTTATTTATATTATTTTTGTTAACAAAAGTCGTGGTCCCACAACTTAGTCAAGGTCTTAATATGGCCAGAAGAACTTTGTAAAGATGTCTGAGTGTAGTGGGAGTGCCAAAAACGCTTACCTTTGACAAACATTTCACAAATGATTGACAAGCCACACTTCAAAAATGAAAAGAAAGACTGAACTTATTCGCATGCCTTTTCCAGATCATTAAAATTAGATGGAAACTAAATGCATACTAAAAACTCTTATGAACATACATCTCACACATTTATGGTTCAACAAAACAGACACACTTATAAACACTACAATCTTTTGAATCCAAAAATTTAAGAACAATAACTGACCCTCCTTGGTGCATAAATAACTAAGCTTTACATATAATCTACTATCGATATGGCTGCTTTTGACCTATCGATTATGAAGCAGAGAGAAATACTTTATTAAAAGTAATGGTGCCCTACTACATAGGATTGGTTCAAACACAGCATACTTATCAATCCATACGGACATAACGATTATATTACATTTTTCTATTTATATATATACATATATACATATATATATTATATATATATATATATATATATATATTATATATATATTTATATATATATGACGTATCTTTCCTTTCTTTTTTTTTCTCTCATTTTTTTTAAACAATATTTTATAAATTATCAACAATAAACCATATTAAACTATAGACCAACATTTTCCAAAGATAAAAAAAAAATAAAAGAGCAGAATGATAGACCTCTTTTCATGACCTTAAAATCAAGGGACTCAATCAAGACTGGGAAGAGGTGATGCTAGAAACTTTCCTTGCTAAAGGCTGAAATATTAATAATCATAATTAATCATATATTTGCTTATTGACATTCTTATCTGTGATGTGTGAATCCAAAAATTTAATTCAAATTTTATCCAGTATAAAATATCATAAGGAGAGAAGTAGCTCAGTGGCAAGACTAAGCTTCCAAAGCTCCCAGGTTCGAATCCCGGCTTATGGCAGATAAATTATTTATTCTATTTATCCCTGTGGTAGGGAGAAACTCCTAGAAACGCCTCTACAAAGTGGGTACCCTTAATAAAATAATTAATTAAGATGAAAATCTGGGGTTGAGTGTGATCTCAGTCAAATCACCTCCTTGCTCAACAAAAACCAAGAAACACTATTCCCTAAATAGTACTTAACCAAAGACCCTTTATGAGTTGTAGTGATACAGATTGATTTTTTTGTATAAAATATCATTAACAGATTTAGCTAAAGATAAAATTGTTCATTCATTTCAATAATTTTTTATTTATTTATTTTTCAATTTATTTTTATTCATATGTGCTTGTTGAAGGTGACAATTTTGAATATTATAAAGTAAGGCTCTGTTTATTTTTTCACCATATTTATTTTAATTTTCACAGCTATGTTTCGGCCTGTTAGCCATCCTCAAGCCATCTATAATATAAACACCATTAATTCTGTTTTTTAATGTAATTCTGCACTCTATGAAGGCGCTATTAGTCATATTCAATTAAACATTTTATAAATTAGAACTCTAATTAGTTTATAACAATGTGCAACCTTCTAACTTAAAATTTAATTAGACTTTGGACTGCATATAAAAAGCATGGTTGAATAAAGTAAGGAAGTTTTAAAATCTAAAATAATTTATATAAAAAAATACACTCTATCTAGTGGTATTTGTTAATTTACAATTTAACTGGCTGAGTTTATTACAAAACAAAATAATAAAAAATAAAAAAAATTGACATAACCTAATTAGAGTTATAATTTATAGAATGTTTAATTGAATATGACTAATACACCTCATAGAGTGCAAAATTACATTAAAATACAGAATTAATGGTGTTTATTTATGGATGACTTACCGGCCGAAATAGCTATGAAAATTAAAATAAATGTGGTGAAAAAATAAACAGAGCCTTATTTTATAATTATTTTATTTTAATAATATTTTATTCTGAGATATTAAATCCCCTAAGAATAATGAAAATGAAATAGGAGAAATTACATTTGTCCACCACAAAATGACAATCAAGAAATAATTAAACTACGGAGTAGTGAAACATTAAAATTTAAAAAAATAGCATGAGTAAACAAAATAAATAATAAAATTAAGATGAATAAATGTAATTAAATATTTATGAATTAATATGATTACATATTTACACTAGAAAGCCACATAAATAATAACAGTAAAATAAGGCAGTGTAAAATACAAAAATTAAATGCTTACCATAATTTATTGGAAAGATTAATAGCTGAGCAGATAGAGAAATAAGTGATGTTTAAAAAAAATTATAGTTGAAGTTTTGTGTATGGAGGTGCGTGAGAAATTTCAAAACAAAATAATACACACGATAAAGGATTTTTTAAAGGAAACAATTCTATTAGAAGGAATATACAGGTTTACAGGCTGAGATTTTGGATTTAAAGAATAGATAGAGGATCAGTGAGTAAACAAATTAAGAAGATAAGCAGCTTAATAAATTTATAAAAGCTCTATTATAGTAAGAAACTTCACAGATTCAAAGTATAAAGAAATCTAGTAATTTTGTTTCCAGAAATCCATGGCTAAATTGATATTTATTTGTTTCTTCAATTGCTCTACTTCTTAACAGGTGTTTTCAGTCCTACAAGTAAAACTCTGTTCTTTTGATAAATAACCTGTTTCGGTGGAATTATCTTTCAAAAATGTATATTTAGCTTCCTTTATTTTTATATTTAAATAAGGAATTAAAAATACTAAATATATTGTTATGATATTTTTTTCTATCAGGAAATAAACAATTAGGAATTGGACCAATAGATCCTCTCAGAATAATGTCAATGAAAATGGACCAAGGCTCGGGAGCAGTTAGTGTTAAATTGGAATTTCAAGACTTGGATATCTTTGGTCTATCTTCCTGCAACGCGACTGCCATTAAGTAAGCGATTACATAAAATTTGTTATAAACATTTAGTTGAAGCATATAATAATAACAGTAATTCCAAACTTTGTAGGAAGTTTATAGAAGGCCTAGGCATTCAAAACTACTATATTCATATTCATTTTCTTCTTAATTATTTAACTCATCCAATCATAGTTTTAGAGTTATAAACCCCATGTTTAGAACCATACTAAAATTTATCACAATTACATTTACTTGTTTTCTGATTGTATAGAAATACTTACAAGATTTTTTATTTTGCATAATTATTTTTACAAATAAGATCTAATTAAAGGTGTAATAATTCCACTATGCAACCTAATGTCTCTCTACACCCATGGTTCTCTAACACTTGTGTTAAGTTAAGCAGAAAAGAAATAGTCTTACTAACAAGATTAAGAATAAACCATGGTCGAACAAATTGCGGCTTGACATTAATAAAGTTAAAAAAAATGATAACTGTTCAACATGCAATTCTATCGAGGATCCATTGCACATTATTTTAAAATGTAAGAGATATGATAAATACCAGAAGAAATACCCCCTCCTCCAAAACAATACCACTTTCCTCCAAGAGCTGTCTGATTTAGATAGGGATACCATTAAGGCATTGTGCAAATTTATTGAAGAATCCAAAATAGATTTTAAAAAATAAATAATAATAATGCACATCTATATCTCCATTATATTTTAATATAACTATAGAGGCAGGATAGGACTTCAGTGAGAGTCTTGGGCCGACTATTAAAAAAAAAAATAAAAAAATAAAAAATAAATGATTGGTTGAAGACAAAGGTTAATTTAAAGTTATCTTATAGTCATTATCTTAAATAAATTATTGATATAAAAATACACAATGGTTCTAACTAGCATAGGTGTCAGCACTTTAGAAATATTTGGGGGGAGGGAGGAGGTAAAGGTTTGTTTAACGTAATAACAGTTTTCAATGTATGAAGGGGAAAGGGAGAAGGGGAATAGAACACCATATACAACGGTGTAGCAAAACTAAAAAAAAAAACAGAATGAATGGTGTTGCATAGAATATAGATTATGAAACGTTTCCAAATTTCCTACCAAAAAAAAAAAAAAAAAATCCATATTGGACCATTTTAAACAAAGATACAGCCTATTTTATTTTTTATGCATGTTTTTGTTTACAGACAGACAGATGCAACCGACCAAGAATAAAAATTATCCTCTATCTTATAATATATTAAATTTACTTATTCCCACCAATCTTAGACCAATATGTTAAGCAAATTCTTCATAAGAGCCAAGAGGTATACCGAAGGAGGTTTCATAGCACAGGTTTTGTCATCTACGTTTTTGAGGGGAGCATATTTTGACTTTTTGAATTTTGGAGAGAGGCACATTTGAAAAGTTTCGAACCAGAATACAAGAGGTAAACAAAGAATAGACTGTAAGAAGTGTAAAATTATTTGATCTACGAGTTTTTAAATTCTACTTTCGCTTTCATTATTTTATGAAGATAAAAGCAATAAAATATCTTGTGAGTGAGGGATTAAGTCATAGACCTTGGGGGAAGGAAAGAATGGGCACTCCAACGAGGGCCAACTTGTAATATAATAATTATCTATATTCAACTTGGGTAATGCTAATTTTATTTAATTTTTGTTCTAATTTTTCTTGTGCATTCATTTTTTTGACATTTTTGCCTCTGTACTCAGTTATGTTATTAACTAAAATGATTTAGTAATTTAATGTTAAACTGGCTTTCTGCATTAATCAATAATCATTTTACTTTTAGTTAAAAGTAGCAAATTTAAAAATGTATCATTGAAACACAGTAATACATTTTTATTTAAAAATTGAGGATGGGATGGCCAAGCACATTGGGATGTGAGTCCCAGAATGCCCTGTTCTCAACGTTGTGGGTTCGATTCCCATCAGGGTTGGTTAATTTTCATTTCTTGGCGGCTCTGGAAAATGAATCTTGATATTACCATTCTGGCAATTACCCGGTGGCAACCTCAAGGTAGGGTAGCTGCCAGGGTTTGACAAAAAGGACCACAAGAGGGTCCACTTGCTGAACTGATTCCCCCCTCCAGTAGAAGTACCAGCAGTACCAGTACCAGTATTTACAAACTGGTCTTTAGTTCCAATCGTGTAAAGATAAATTTTTAATAAGTGCAATGTAATAACATTGCAACTTAACATGTGAAAATTTCTTATTATTTTTAATAAGTTAATTTTTCTAGGAATAATAATTGGAAGACACTTGAAGGACAAGCTATCTGTAAAACATTTGATATGACGGGGAACTACAAAGCTAATGGCAAAGTATTATCCCTACCGATATCAGGAAATGGAGACTTTGATCTACACTTTGGTAAATATTTGTCGCTAATCAGGTTACTATTGTCTTGCTTACCTATAATAAATTAATAAATTGGCAATTTTTTAAAGTATAGTGAAATGCATCAAATGATAAAGACACTAATTTGTGAATATTGCAGGTAAACAAAGTAAACCAATTATCATTCTGTAAAACTGAATGTTAAATTTAATGTTTTGTTTTTTAAAATTTAGTTATTCATTATTTAAAAGTAGTTATGCTTTTTAAAAGTTATATTACATTTGTTTAATTTGAAAATTACAAATCTATTCTTCTTTATTTATAGATATGATGGAAGCCAATATAACCATCCATTTAAAAGAAAGTTTCAATAAAGGTAAAAAATACTTTGAAGTGTCTTCCTTGAACTTAATCGTGAATCCAAACAATGCAACATTTTATTTTGAAAATCTCTTTGATGGGGACGAAGTATTAAGTAAGTAAAAAGTCCGTATATAGTATATAATACCATACTATAAATGGACTAATATATTATTATATACTATATAATAATATAAAAGTGTAGCCCATTTTTCATTTGTAAATGCAAACCATGAAAACTTTTTTTTTGTCAATTTCAGTTTTTATTGAAGAATACAATCTGCCACAATCATGAGTAAAAGTTATTGGTGGTCGAAGTATATATTTATACCATTTTTACAAAAATAAAACAAATTAGAAATATAATAATAATACTGAATACTTAATAAGTGACCGTTGTATTATTAAGGAAGGAGATGATCCGGGGAGTCGATCTTAAATAGACTAAATAGTGGCAATAAAATAGTTTTGTCACTATTTAGTCTATTTATTAACAACACCCCGGGCCATCTCCTTTCTTTATAATAATAATACTTTAATACAAAAAAAAAAAAAATAAATAAACCTCTGAAGGTTAAACATTAATAAAATCTAATGATTTCTTCTCAATCAGTAACTATAAACCATATCAACCTTTAAAATCATAGGCAATCACTTTAGCACAGGATTCTATAAATATTGTTTGAAATCACTACAAATAAATCATAAGGGCATTTTTAAGCATAAGAGAAGACTGTTTTCCTTCAGGCAAATATATGAAGGAAAATCTTTCTGTAATTATACTTAAAAGAGGAACAACAAAGAATATTGCTTACATTGATGCACTGTTAGTTTTGTTTATAGTTTGCAACATACCGTGTTCATATAAAAAAAATTGTTACTATAAAGCCATCAAACCAAAGTAGCTTTATTTAGAGAAGAGGTTATAAGAGTTATAACCAATCCTATTTTAACCAAAGAGGGAAGGGCAAGATTCATTATGTGGGTCCACCAAAAAATAAATTTCAACCCACCTAGGTTGGATTCAAACCGACCATGCTAGTCTCGAGATTTATAAAGGGGGCGAAACTGGTATATGCTTGGGCAACATAGCCTCTAATTTAATTTAAAAATTGCCAGCAAAATATGGTAAATTGCCTCCAATTAACAGCACAAAAAAAAGTACCATCATTGTACAATCCAGGCAAGTTAATTCATGAATTAAGATAAATATTATTTAATTTATAATGTTTATAATTAAGAAAAAAAAGGAAGAAAAATATGTTTCACTGCAGAAACAACATAAATTTAAAATTTTATAAACAAAAATTCTGAACATCTAATAATAATTATATTGCTAATAATAACATAAGTAATGTATTGATTGATTGTTTACGCTACAAATTTTTATCTTTAAACATTCCATTTACTAATATAATTGCATTTGTCTTAAAATCATTCTGTAATAAGTGACTCATACCTCCAATTAACACCACAAAAAAAAAAGTACCATCATTGTACAATCCAGACAAGTTAATTCATGATTTAAGATAAATATTATTTAATTTATAATGTTTATAATTAAAGAAACAAATGAAAAAAAAGGAAGAATATTGTTTTATTTTTTTTTAAATAATTAAGTTAAGACATGTATGCAAAAAATTAAATATGTGTGATTTATGTATTTATTTATTTATGTATTGAAAATTATTATGTGTATTAATATTATTTTTCTTTGTCCAATAGGTGAAAATATGAATACGTTCTTAAATGAAAATTCTGAAATAATCATAAAAGAACTGAATCCATCTTTTTCTAAAGGGCTGTCACAAGCGTTATTTCAAATAACTAGTCAAATATTTTCCAAAATTCCATCGAATGAAATCAATATTCATTAATGAAACGAAAAGTTAAACTGTTTAGTTCTATTATAGCTTTTTTCCTCTACAGTACTTATGGATATGTTTAGTAGCTTGTTATTGTTTTAATAAAAACATTTAAAAATGAACTGAAAGAATTACTCGATTTAATTTTTAATGGTATTAATAAATGGTCTTGATGAATTGTATCCTACCTTCTGAATATACAGTATATACCACAGGTTGGCACTCTGCGGCATTGAGGCCTCATGTGACCTACATGAGCTAGCTGCGGCCTCTGTTTTTGAGCGATATTCATTAATCTAGTGCTAGAATTAATTAATATTTAACTATTCAGGTTAGTAAATTGTTTAAATTAATAGAATTAAATTGAATATAAGCATAGAATAGTATTCAATAATAAATAGAAATAAACATAGAGACTATAAAATAAAAAAATATCGCAGCCTGCATTATCGTTGCCTAACTTTTCAGAGTACCTATGCCGATGACACGTGTATCATATTAGTTAATAACGATCCATCTATTGCATCCCAAACTCTTCAATCACACATCACAAGTCTTGAAAAATGGTGTCAAAACTGGAGGATTAAAATAAATTCCAGTAAATCCCATCAAATTACCTTCACTTTTCGCCGTAAACATATGACTTCCTGTCCTACAGAATTCTTCAACAATAGCCCTCTTATCCCTGTCGAACAAATCCGATACTTAGGACTCCACCTAGACAAACGACTCACTTGGAACCCCCATAGCAGACTGAAACTACTAGAAACTGCCTGAAGTTTAAGACTATTGCAGCACTTACTAGACAAACGCTCTAAGCTTTTAATAAATTACAAACAACTCATATATATGACAATAATAAGACCTATTTGGACTCATGGAATTGAGCTTTGGGGCTCAACAAACAACAATTGAATATATTCAATCGACTTACTCAATGTCTTGCATACGCGGAAGATATTCTTATCAGCGCTCGCACATTGTCGGGATCGATGCAACAGCAATGCAGCTTGGCCTGAGTTGATAAACGAAGGGAAAAGTCTTTACATGAAGTCTTCAAGGAAAAATGTAGCTATGCATGAATATGTTCAAATTAATCAGCACCTCTTTCCAATGGGAACAGAATTCAAACACCTCGGAGTAATAGTCACTGACCAGAACAAAATGCAAAATGCAAAATAAAGGCCAGAATTACAGCTGGCAATAAGTGTATTTTTGCCCTGGCAAAAATACTGAAATCCGAGGAACTGAATTGAATACAAAAGTAACAATTTATAAAACCATTATAAGGCCAGTCATTACCTACGGGTGTGAAACGTGGGTTCTGATACAGGAAAGTGAGAGATTGCTGATAATATGGAAGAGAAAAGTCGTAAGGAAAATATACGGTCCGAAGAAAATAAATGACCAGTGGCGAATACGGAAAAACGACGAGCTCTATGAGCTGTTTAAAAATGATGACATTGTAGCCACTGTCAAAAGGAGCCGGCTCAGATGGCTAGGCCATGTAGAGAGAATGGAGAAGGAAAGGTGGCCTAGGAAACTTCTGGCCTTTCCAGGAGGAGCACGTCTTAGGGGAAGACCCTGGCTGAGGGGGATCAACGACGTGGAGGAGGACCTCAGCCGCATGGGTATCGGAAGATGGAGAAGAATAGCTGCCGATAGGGAAGCCTGGCCGAGGCTTGTTTCTGACTTCCAGGTCCACTGAGGACTGTAGAGAAAATTAATAATAATAATAATAACTTTACTGCGGCTTCTAATGATGAAAAGGTTTCCAACCAATTGTATATACCACAGGTGGGGAACTGTGGCCTCCAAATTTTATTGTCCTATATTTATAAATCAAGCATTAGAATTAATTAATATTTAATTATTTAGGTTTATTATTATTTAGAATCAAAATTAATAGTGAAAAATCCACCCACATCAGTTTCTCTCTTAGGAAAGCCTCATGTCCACCCATAACGATTGCCAATAATCCAGTGCCTTCAAAGAACTATGTATGGTACCTTGGACTCTACTTAGACAAAAGACTTACTTGGAACATACATACGAAATTAAAAATACAAGAACTTACTAGACGATATAGCCAACTTTCACATCTTCTAGACTACAGATCTTCACTTTACTTACAATGTGATCTACAGCACCTTACTGAGACCAATATGGACATATGGAGCAGAACTTTGGGGTTCAGCAAAACAAACACACATAAACAAAATACAAACAGCACTATCAAAATTTTACGAAAAATTGTTAACGCACCTTGGTACATTTCGAATACTACTATACATAACGACTTAAACACCCCAACAGTAAAATCCTACATCCACAACAAATACGCTACATTTCATTCTTCAACCCAAAATCACTCCAATCCTCTGGTTCTTTCTATCTCCTGCTCCCTGTTACCTGACTAACGAAGATTAAGAAGAAAATGGCCAACAGACCTACTGCATCAATAAAATCATCAACATAAAAAAATCAAAACAATTACACCAAGACAATAAAAACACAACAAATTTGCTAGATGCGTAGGTGCAAATTGCATAAAATAAAATATAAATAAATTATTTAGGTTATGAAAATTTGAAAATTAATAGAATTAAGTTGAATATATGTACATAGGTGTATGGGTGTGTATTTAGGAACTAATAAAAATAATAACAGTAAAAAATAAAACATTGTTGTAGTCTCCATTAGCTTAACTTTTAATTTTCTCTGTTTTTGCAGAGACCGGAATAAGTGGTAGACACTTGGAGCTACGTCTGGTGAATAGGGTGGATGGGGTAAAAGGTCCCATCCAAGGCTCAATAATTTATTGCGAGTCACCAATGAGGTGTGGGACCTAGCGTTGTCTTGGTGGAACACAATACCCTTCCGATCATTCATAACTCTTCAGGATGTTCTGCAAATTAGGTGTTACTATATCTGTTGGAAAGTTGAATTATTGCTCTCCAAAGCCGTATGAATGGTTTTTTGATTTCATGCCGTAATTGCAGTTTGCTTATGAAGGTCCTGCTGATGTCAGTTTATGTGACTCTAAAGTCCTGCTCGTCGTAAAGTAGTATTGAAATTATAACATTTTTTGTGATCTTCTAAAAAACATTATGTGAGGAGCCCAATTATTAAGCCTGGAAACATAGCCGAGCTTGTGCAAATGGTTTTTTACGCTTGTGTGGAACGCATTTAGGGCCATAGGCAATCTCTCGAAATGGCTCGTTTCAGTTTCATGTGGACGACCAGACCGTTGAACATCATTGATGTGAAAATTTCCTGAATGAAATTTGGCAAACCAATTTTGACATGTGCGTTCGGTTCATTTCCATAAACACTGCAAATTTTTCTATGAGCTTCTGGAACACGCTTACTTAAAATAATACAACAAAATATGCAGATAGTGAATGATATTTTCTTCCATATTCTCAGTGCAATAGCAAACAAAATACTAAGCTAGTTTCAACAAGCGTTAAAAGATATAGTTGTTGACATATTTCAAACGGGATAAACAATCCACAACAATCAGATAAGAACTGTATCATAGTGTCATAAAAATAAACAGAAAAACCGAAAGGACTTATTTGCCAGCCCAATACATACCATACCTTGCCCAGTTATAAAAGCCCTTCTCACTCCTACGTTCTATGTATGTTCCCCCATTCTTCAGCTCAGCCTTCACTAAGTGAGCGAAGTATACATTACATGCACAGACTGGAAATTTAATGCTACAAACTCTTAATTTTTTACTTTAACTCTTTATCAGTTTGGTATGATGAAAGGTCCTTTGAAACAGGAAATACTCGTATCGACACTGACATAACATTTTATTAGACTCATTGTTTTGTACTCTCTTAAAAATGTAAGTTAATTTAGATCTTAAAGAAAATATCTTTTATGAAATAATATATTTCCATTGCATACGATCTAAGGTATTATAGTATATGAATAAACCAATAATTATATTTATAAGTAAAATTAGTACAGTTTTATAGGCTGTGAATCGACGCTGGAGTCAAGAGACCCTTTTAGGACACACTCAGCCTCTTAAAACAGGGTATCTTTAATTAAAATTAATTGATTAACGTGAAAAACCAGGCGAACAAATATGGTGTGTTCACTCACACGACTTTCCTACCTATTTCAGAAAAGTTTTTATATATTTACATATATCCATAAAAAAAAAAATTTAATTAGATTTTAGAACTTTTTGCCATAGCCTAATTTTGTCAAATAATAATTTCTGTTAAAAGGAGAGAAAATAGTGAAGCTTGTGTGAAGCGTGCAACAGATTCTCTTACTTTCACTAAGTTATATTTTTTTCTACCATTCATCCCTTTTTGACATCAGGATATGTACCCGTAATGTTACATTGGAAATTGAATAGCTGTAACTTCGTTAATAGTTGTCCGAAATGAACGATTTTTATATAGTTTGTAGGGAATTTCAAATAAGTTAATTACCTTTCAAAAAACAGGCTAAACGGTGTTTTTCGAAATCGGGCGGACAGACAGACCAATGGCTAAAAATGTGTTTTCGACTCAGTGGGCTCTGAAACGAATAGATCCGTCGAAAACCACATATCGGAAATTTGACCCGATCGAAATACTTTCCTTACCTAGTATAGGTAGGAAAGTAATAAATTAAAACATGTAAAGAATAGAATACGCTGTATCATCGCTAATTTTGGTTTGATTCCGATGCTTTTGTTTTGTTTTGTTTGTACCTTTCAAAAGTTTTCTTATACATTTTATCATGGAATATATACTTAGTTAGGTCCCAAAACATTTTTCTTTTCTTTATAAATTTTTTTTCCGGGAATTTAGTCCATGTACGAAAATTGAAAGGACAATTATTAGATTATTGATTTTGATTTTATTTTTACTCTTCGTAATATTGAGGTAGGGGAGGGGGGGGCGATAAAATATTTTCGTCACCCTCTGTATTTATATTGGGAGGCGATCGCTCTCTCGAAATTAGCGCCTGTGATATTAAATGTAGTTTTGTTGCGATTTTCTAGTATCATTATATAAATAGGCAAACACAAAACGGTTCAGCCCCTTTTACTCCTCTATTATCAAACCGATTTTCTTCCTTATTTTTTTGTTTCATAGAACACAAGCTTAAATGTTATCAATAAATAAAAATATTAAATAGTATGTAAATAAAAATATAAATGGTAGTATGTTCCTAACAGCTAATCTCCGAAAATTCTTCACCGATTTCTTTGAAATTTTGACACACCGTGGCAATAATATTTAGAAGTGTTTTTGTATACGTTTCATTATCATCAGGCCTTTCCTTTCGAAATGGCGGCCGAAAAAGGTGATTCGCTTTATAATGCAGCGCCAATACGGCTTCAACGATTTCAATGAAACTTGGCTAAAGTCTTCCCCTTGAAACCTTTATAATTTATTTATATAACATACTTTCCCGAAAACAAGCTGCATACATTTTTATGATGAATTCAGTATTTTATTAGCGAATTACTCAAAAAGTACACATTTTTTTTATTGATAATACCAATATTTATTTGAAATGTTTCTTGATTTCCCACAAAATGAAATTTAAAAAAATTATCGAAATCGGACCATTTGTTGCAGAGATATATAATTTTAAACAATTAGTACGTTTTATTTTGCAAAGTCAATTTCCGTTATTTTGTTTTTTGATAAATCGAAAATTGTACATTTAATGAAATAATCTGGACAATTATTTGAAGATATGATATCATTGATTGTTATTGGAATGTTCTAAGTAAAGTCTATAGTTGTGCTCATTCTTAACTTGAATAATACACAAGAATTAGCTAATGAAACACGAATGAGAGTGAAGTACTAACGAGAGCTACTTTAAATTAAAGAATTTTAATTCCAATAATTAATTAAAAAATTTTGACACAATACTTACATTCGACTTTCAAAAACAACGTTCTTATTAAAAGCTACATTTGCTATGACCATAATAAAATCGCAGGGTCAAAGTTTTGTAAAAATGTGTGTATTATTTCGCATGGACAATTATATGTGGCAGCAAGAGCACGTTCATTTAAAATATTGAAATATATATTTTTAATGGCAATGGACAAGGCTATGCATTAAACAATAACAGAAAATTCAAAAAGAACACATTGTTTACAAAGAAGTATTGAATAAAAATGGATTTAAAGTGAATTGAAATTGCTAATTTAAATTTATTATTTCACACTGGTATATTATTTGCAAACGATTATACATCTAAAGTAATATTACCTTCCAAGTTACAAAGAAAAATAAATAAAAGGTGATTCCAATTAATGAACTGAACTTTTCTTTATAATCATTAGTAATATGCTAAAAAAATTAGCATTACCTAATTAATACATTACAAAATTCAAAAACCTAAACAAAGGATATAACCTTTGCAGCAGAACGTATTAAAAAAAAAACTAGAGACAATATTTTATCTCCTAATTGTTCGATTTTAACGATTTTTTTTTGTTTTTTAGGCTATTCTATAAACTTTTAGAAAACCATTACAACATTCCCAAAAAAAGTGTATACTTTTTGAGTTATTCGGAATTTAATTTTACCACCCATCGTAACTTTTTTTCCAGCTTCTTTTCCCTGAAGTATGTTATATAGATAAATTTGAAGGGTGTCGAGAAAATGACTTTGGCGAAGTTTCAATGAAATCGGTACATTCGTTTAGGCGCTACAGTCTATAGCTATGCAGGTTTTTCTGCATTTTTATTTTTTTTTCTCCTTTATTAACTTATCAAATTCTTTCAAAAGTTATATTTAGCATTTTTTCGTAACTCTGAATAATGCGAAATAATTAACTTTTTAAAATAAACCGTATTAAAGGGACTTTAGAGGAAGACGTATATGAACAATGGGTATTTAAGCCCTGTAAAGTGACATCAATGTGGATAAGACCTAATTGATATTAAATACCACTTAATTATACAATGATACACCCAGTTTAATCAAACTGTTAGAGCCGTTTTTGAGAAAATTGTGAAAATGTGTTTCAGCGTTGATATAAAGTGGCACTTTCGGTTATTTTTTACTTGTTTAATCATAACATTAATTTATTTTGATAATTAATTACACATAAATTAAATGTTTTTGAATGAGTCTATTTTATATTACTTGTAAATAATTTTAAGTAGTTAAAGCTCGATTTGTAATTGAAATTGATATTTTGTTTTATATTAATAAATGAGGAGTTTTGAATCGTAATTTACTCTTAATTTATTTTTTATTTAATTATATGTTGTCCTCAAATTTTTAATGACAACGGTAGGATTTCGACCACTGGTCGAAAACTATAGAATTATCCCTAAGGGATTTTACCTTTCTTATCAAACTCGATGTATCAAACACTTACTGTTTACTAACAATCTCTCGGTACATACTATAATCTCCATTGGTGAAATTTGCTCAGTGCTCTAATGCAATCGTTGACAAACTCTCTGCCCCACATTTGATGACTAATGCAATCTTCCTCTTCTAATATCGGTTACATTGAGTGGCATTCAATTTGCGAATCGTGTAGTGCAAGGTGTTAATTGGTGAGTCCATATTTTCAGCTATTGGTTTTTAAAATATAGAAATATTTGTTTAGCTCATATAATATTATGTTCATTTTCGTTAATCAAAAATAATTAAACAATATCAAATCTGCAGTTCAGCCTTCAGAGGCCTTAGTTGACGATAAAAAAATCTGGTGCGCGCAACACACAACTTTCGCTTACCGCTCTACTTTGAATAGAAATTATTTTTGGCAATGCTAGGCTATTATAAAATTATTTGAAGTTCATTTTAAACGGAGCTAAAGCTTAAAGATAACAAATCATTACGAACATTATAATTACAAAAAGACTATTTATTATATCGACTGTAGCCAATGAAAATCTAGTCACTCCATCTACTTTTATAAACCACACAACTTAAGGTCTGAGCCTTTCAGTTGACAGAATGACTAACTTCAATTTCAACATTTTTTAGTAATGTCATTTCAGTGATATTTTTAGTTGAAAAAGTTATCTATGCGGACAGTGAGTAAGTGGATTCCGGAGTAGCTGATTGCAGCGTTGAAATAGATAACTGTGAATAAAGATATAAATTTTCCAGCTAGAAACATCACTAAATTTAATAATAAAGAATGTTCGAATTGGAGTTAGTCATTTCGTCAAACCTTAAGGCTCATATATACCTACAGAGATTTGAAAGTATATCTGAATATTTAACCTATACATGATTATGGATCGTACGACTATTAGTTATTAAGCTGTTATTTTCCATTGTAAAGTCTACTAAAACAAAATTACGAGATTTTCATTGTCTTGCCATGGGTAGGTCAAAAGTTGTCTCACTAATTGTAAGCGGATACTGTTGGAATATCGCAAAGGGAAAATCCATCAAATTATACACTAATTTAATTTTCTAAAAGGTTACTTAATGGTTTTTTGGGATTAAATGGCCGACAAATACATAATTATTTAAATATAATAACTTATCTAGACTTAATACTCTATAGTAAATATATTTAAGGTTATAAACATATCCATGAAATATTTTTATATTTCTCTTCTTCTTTCACACAAGAGCAATGAAATAGTATTTTAAACAATGGCATTGGCTTGATTAGGTGGATTTTAAATACTTTTTTTCAATCTTAGAACTTTCTATATTAGATATTGTTTTTTTTTTAAATTCTTCACTTTCCAATGGTATATTATACGTATACCTTTTAACCGATATTTCCGGAGATTCATTTTTATTTTTTTCTCCTTTATTCAATTATAAAATTCGTTCAAAAGTTATATTTAGCATTTTTTTTTTCAACTCTGAATAACTTTAGATGACTATTTTCTTAAAATAATTAAAATAATATTAAAGGTAATGAAGAGAAGAATAGTTGAGGTGATCAGTCAAATAAGAAGGCAAAAATAATTGATAATATTTATTTTGACATTTGCCGGCGTTTCGACCAAAAGTTCAGGCTTTCATCAAGGCTGAGATAAGAACCAGATAACAAGGTATGAGAAACATAAGCAGTGTAGGTAAAAAAAAAAATTAAAGTATAATGCAGTTGTTAGAATAATGACAATAGTAAGAACTAAGAGATAAATAATAATAACCGTTATAAAGTGTGGAATGATAAAGTAAACATAATCAAATCATAATAAAACTAAGAAGATCTTGATATACTTTACAATATCTCAATGTTCTATCTAACTATTCAATTTGCAATACCTTAATTTTATTATTTATTTTCATTTCTTATATAACTTCATATTCCTTTTTTCTGTTTTATATTGTATTCTAAGATTCCCATTTTAATACTTATGTCACCTTTTTTGATTATGTTTACTTCATCATTCCACACTTGGTAACGGTTATTATTATTTATCTCTCAGTTCTTACTATTGTCATTATTTTAACAACTGCATTTTACTTTAATTTTTTTTTTTACCTTCACTACTTATGTTTCTCATACCTTGTTATCTGGTTTTTTTCTTAGCCCTGATGAAGGCCTCAACTTCAGGTCGAAAGGTCGTCAAATGTCAAAATAAATATTATCATTTATTTTTGCCTTCTTATTTGATTGATCACCCCAACTATTCTTCTCTTCATTATTCACGACAGTCAAGCATTTATCCACAATCGTATTAAAGGTACTTTAGAGGAAGACGCATATGAACATTGTGCATTTAAGCCCTGTAAAGTAAAATCAATGGGGATCAGATCTAATTGATATTAAAGATCACTTAATTCTACAATGATACACCGAGTTTAATCAAAATCGTTAAGAGCCGTTTTTGAGAAAATTATAAAAATGTGTTTCAACGTTGACATAAAGTGGCATTTCCGGTTAGTCGATTTTAAGGAAAAAGTTGCTGTCACACCTAAGGCATATACCTATCTTAAATACGTAATATCAGTTTCTCACGACTTTTCGTTTTAGCTAGACTGCTAACAGACACACAGACTATTTTTCGGGACTTGGTTATTTGGACTCAGGTTACATCAAAACGTGTATTTCCGTTAAAACTCAGATTCAAATATTTTCACGACTGCAATACTTACACTTAGTATATATTACATATATAGGTAAGTGAAAGTAAAAAGTGTTGACAAAAAACAATACAATCAAAATATTTGTTATATAAATATACTTAAAAAAATTAAAAAGTCATTTGAATTGCATATTTCCTCTGAAATTTTCCTTAGTATTTAATAGATAATAAGCATTTAAGAGTGATTAATAAGTGAACCTGAACTGATCACCCAATGCTACCTTATATTGGACGGTCACTTAACCTCTAAACAAATGTTAACTGGGCTTTAGAGATAAAGGGAAGATTTAAGTCATAGGTGGACATTTTTTTTTTCGAATAATAAATAAATAAGAACCTGTTATATTTTAAATTATGATTAGTTTATTGATTATTCGTTGAAAAATAAACGGATTAATGTTACTTTATTCGCTTGTCAATGAAAAATATTTATTTAACAGAAATAAATTTATTTATAATTTAATAAATAAATTTTACAAATATATTTCATTTTGGATCATTATTTTAAACAATGAACCATTGAAATTGTTCTAAAAATTCGAAAATTTAACCCTAACTAGAAGAAACTATTTTATTTAATAATAAATCATCCACGATGACTGACGTTACTCCAAATCCAAAATATCAAGATTCGAAAAACATTATGTATTATTCTCACGATGAAAATGAGAAACATGGTCTTTTCAACGGGGAGATGGGTAAGTATTATTTTTATATATTTTTTCTGTTAGCATTACAGGCCAATGAGATCGTTTACCAACTTAATTAGTCTTATCCATTTCTATCTATTTAAATATATGTTTAAACATTTGTATTAATTTTAAAACACAGGCATTTAACAACACATATCCAATAATTCCGAACATATATAATTAATAGAAAGCTGAATTTAGTTTGAAAAATGTTTAATTAACCTTGGAGTACCTTTTTCTGTTAAAGACCATTTAGATCTTTTGCCGACTTAATTAGCTATCGTGGACTATCAAAATTTGACGTTATACGGTTACCTTAGGTACATCATTTAAATAAATAATTCGTTAGTTACAAAAGAATTTTAGTGTAACCCATCGTTCTAAAAATAATTTAAAACATTTTTCAATATTACAAATACACTAAAATATAACATCAAAGATTGATTGAAATTTTTATTTTCTCGATGACACGTGTATCTTTTCATTTAATAACGATCCGTCAATTGCATATCAAACTCTCCAATCACACATCACAAGCTTTGAAGAATGGTGTAAAAATAAAAATAAATTAAAATGAATCCCATCAAATCACCTTTACCCTTCTTCGTAAACTTATGACTTCCTGTCCTACCTTATCCTTTAACAATACTCCACTTATTCCTGTTGAACAAATCCGATACCTAGGACTCCACCTGGACAAACGTATAACTTGGAATCCTCATACCAGATTGAAATCGTTCGACGTTTCTGACTACTTCAGCACTTACTGGACAAACGCTCTAAGCTTTCAATCAATTACAAATGACTCATATACATGATTATAATAAGAACTATTTGAACTTAAGGAGTTGAGTTTTGGGAATCCACTAAACCATCGAATTTATTTCTTATCCAATCTTTACAATCCAAAATCCTTAACGCCCATTACTTTGCCCCAAATAAAATAATTCATAACGACCTGAATGCAGATACCTATCCTTCCATAATAAACTCCTGAACCATTCGAACCCTCTCGTTTCTAATCTTGCTTGCTCCTCAATCCTTGATAACCCTCCGAGGCGTCTGAAAAGAAGATGGCCACGGGATCTTCTAATATAGAAATATAATTGAAGTGCTACCAATGGGTAGTTTCTCTTCATGTTGCACATGTCATGTTACTTGTTTTATATTTACTTGTTTTATTTATCATTTAACAAAGTTGTAAATTTCAATAATAACAAAAAAAAATATTTTTCCTGTAGTTACATGTTTTTCTTCAAGGTTTTCTAGGGCCGCTACTGTTTAATACATCTTCGTTGAAGTTAACTGTATTCTGTATAATGTTTGTAAAAATGTAAAAATTATTCACGAAAACCACAACAATCCCTCTTTTGAAGACTTGGCCCGACTAAAATATTGCTTGCAATTCCAAACTCTTTGGCCACCCTAACCCTCTAGTTCATAACCTTTCATCCAAAACAATTCCGGACAACCTTCCGAGGCCTCTGAAAAGAAGATGGCTAAGGGACATTCTAAATTTATTCATTTTTGAAGTTCTACCAATGGGTAGTTTCTTTACAAGTTGTATTTATCATGTTTTAGCATATTTACTTATTGTATATGTACACAGTTGGTCCAATCTAGAAACCTATCCCTCCATAATAAACTTCTGAACCATCCTAATCCTCTCGTTTCTAATCTTGCTCTTCCTCCTCGATCCCTGATAATCTCCCTAGGCGTCTTAAAAGAAGATGGCCACATGATATAATTTAGATACTTTATTAGAGTGCTACCAATGGGTAGATTCTCTACAAGCAATGTCATGCTATGTATCCCATTTATTGAATGTATATTAATTGTATACAGTTGTAAATTACATAAATGATAATAAAAAGAAAAAAAAACTATTCTTCCAAGGACCTCATATAATATCCGTATCATATTTTAGTCACGATTAAGTGTAGCAAAGTAGGCCTAAATATACATTCGATATTACAAAATCACAATGCACTTAAATTTATTATAATTAGAGACCGGATTTCCATGTTATTGCACTTTTTATTTGCTTGCGTGTAAAAACCCCGGACCCGACATCTATCCGTTTCAGGTCCTGTATACGGGTGGATCTACGGGAGGGGCTTTCGGGCTGAAGCCCCCCTCCTCCCCAAAATGGAAAAATATAACCATGTTTTATGGGAAATTTTTTTTTAAAATACCTCTTAAAGTATTATTGTTCGTGTAATTACATTTAAAAGTACTTAAGGTACTTACAAGTACTTAACACCATTTCATATAGGTAGTTAGTTTCTTTCTGTTTTTCCAAAGTAATTATCGTTATTTTTATGAAAAAAAAAAGGTTTCGGGCTGAAGCCCCCCCCCAAATTAAATCCTGGATCCGCTAGTGGTCCTGTAGAATAAAATATTTAACTTTTAAATTGTACGAAATTGCACGTTTTATCGTTTTTGGCTTAAATTGTACGATTTTGTTTTTTGTTGCATTAAATTGCACATTTTTGTACTTTTATGCTAAATTAGACGATTCGTAAATACAAATGTATAAGTGAGTGTGATAATATTTATTTTACTTTCTATTTTACTATATTGTTCAAATTAAATTCATTATTCAAAATAGAAAAATATGAAGAAGGCAAATAATTCTGTGTGAAGCAAAGATCGTATTAATTAAAACGGAAGAAGTGAACACAAGTGAGATCTATTCTTGGAATAGAACTTGCCTAAATTATTGGATAATAAAAAGCTGCTTTCCTATAATTAGCTATTTTGTGGTAAGGCATTTATAGTTATTGTTTTGACTTGAATCCTCACTCACCGTTCAACCCTTCAGTATCTCTGTTCTCTGGCTTTAAATTGATTTGTAGAAATTTCATTATAAAAAAAAAAAAAAATGATAATGCTCAAAGTAAAATCTAGTCTCTCGTCAAAAATTAAATCTGGATATAAAAATACCATGATTTGAAATGCGAGGACAAAGAATTTGATGATTAAGTTCTATACACCTTATGAAAAATCAACCAGGTGATGGGAAATCACTGATAGACGCTCATTGTGGAACATGTATGAAAACAATATTCCTATCAAAGAATTAATTTTTTTTGTTTTTTGATGAGTTTGACAACGTAATCCCCCAAAATATTTTTTTAGTGATATAGAAAAACAGCTTCAACATTAATATTTGAACACTTGAAAATCTTAAACATTACAGTCTATTTCATTTTTTTTTTAAATCTTTAAATTTTAACAAAAATTTTGGAATATATGATATTGGAAATTTCAACCAAATTAAAAAATTAAATTTTCATTATTATTTTTAATAAAAGTTAAATATCTAAAACTTGTCTGGTCTTTATCACAGGCGGATCTACAGGGGGGCTTTCGGGCTGAAGCCCCCCAAAATGGTAAAATATAACCATGTTTTACAGAAAAAAAGATTAAAAACTATCTCTCAAAGTATTCTTGTTAGTGTAATTACATTTAATAGGACTTCAAGAACCACTTAGACACTATTTCATATAGGTACATAAATTCTTTATTTTGTTTTCTAATTAATTATTGTTATACGTATATGAAAAAAAATCTTTCGGGCTGAGGCCCCCAAAATTAAATCCTGAATCCGCTAGTGGTCTATATAATATGTAGGTACCTATAATTTCTGCCTTCATTTATTCCTTAAAAAATTTAATGCTCTGCATTATTTGATAATAATCGTTATTATAATAGTTAATTATAATCTAGAATTTCATTTTCAATGTAACATTTCAATTATTTTTTTCTAAAAAATTCTCGGTTAACTGAAGATCTGATAAGCTTTCGATGTATTAATGTTATAAATAACATTGATGAGTTTACACTTTTTTAAGTGTTAATTACACAATTTTACGTTTTCCGAATTTTTACTGTACGAAAATCCGGTCTCTCATTATAATCTTTATTTTGGTTTATTATTTTCAATAATCAACCATTGTGATCGACCAAAAAATTCAAAAACTTAACCCCCTCTCAAAATTTGTGGTATCACGTTTCAGGACGCGTAGAATTCGAAAAACGAATAAAATTTTTTTTGTCCGTCCGCGCATTTTCTCCGAAACTACTGGACCGATTTTTTTCAAGTTTTGATATAAAATCAGAGGTCACCCGAGGATGATCCTCCTTCATCGACATTACTCTCAGCCTTTAACTTTCAAAATGGCGGCCGAAAAACCTGCGTTGCTATAGACTGTAGCTCCTAAACAGATGTACAGATTTCAATGAAACTTCGCTAAAGTCATTTTCTCGACATCCTTTAAATTTATCTATATGACATACTTCAACGAAAAGAAGCTGAAAAAAAAGTTACGAGGGATGGTAAAATTAAATTCCGAATAACCCGAAAAGTTTATACTTTTTTGTTGATATTGTATATAGTTTTTTAAAAGTTTACGAAATTTCCTAAAAAAAACGTTAAAATCGGACAATTAGGAATAAAGATATGGTCTTCGGTTTTTTTATATGTTCTACTCCAAATGTTATATCCTTGGTTTGGTTTTTAAATTTTGAATGTGTTACTGAATTAATGCTATTTTTTTTTAGCATATTACTAATGATTAAAGAAAAACAGTTTAGTCCAATAACTGGAATCACCTTTTGTTTTTTTTTCTTTGTAGCTCGGAAGGTAATGTTACTTTAGATGTATAATTGTTTGGAAATAATAAACCACTGTGAAATAATTTTCAGCGTTTTTTTATTTTTTATTTTTTTGTACAGGTTTTGTATAAAATGCGGAAACAAAGATTGGGAGAATCGTTCCTGAGATTTGTCTTCAGGAAGCTGTGGCTCTTGCTGTTTCTGTCAAGTGGAGTCGCATTATTCATTACCTTCCTGATGGTGGTGGAAGTATCACCAGGAGGTTCATCGGTGGTCATAATGCAGATGGAAAAGCCGCCATTGGATTGGGTGAAATACGGCTGGATGAACAACGAAGAATCGGACGACGAGGGTCTTTGGAATCAAGAGACGATATTTTCTTATTTAGTTCCAGATCGACAATACAATATCCCTTTCGGAAGTATTGAAGATCGACAAAGAACAGAATCCATCGGCAGATTGACTTCGGCCTTCTTTCGAAACTTCCGAGCATTCAGGAGGCCGAGAACGGAAGGAATGAAAACGCCGGAAAAACGAGTTGCAGCGGTTCTTGCTTCCGTAATTGTTGTCACACCGGAATTAAACAATTTCCCAAGAAAAAGCAAAGGCAGTGTGGAATCAAACCATGTCCAAGATACTATTGAGGATGAAGTTGATATAAAAATAGATTTACATCATGAACAACAAGCGATTTCCTCTGTACCTTATAACGAAGACATTTCCCCAAGTAAGAATTCGATAGAGTCTTCTAAAAAACTAGAAGAAACTAATCTATTTAATGATAAATCATCGACGATGAGTGATGTTAGTCCAGATCCGAAATATCAAGATTCGATGTATTATTCTCACGATGAAAATGGGGAACATGGTCTTTTCTACGGGGAGATGGGTAAGCATTATTTTTAGTTATTTTTTCTGTTAGCTGTTAGCATTTTCTGGCTATTTAAACATATTTTTAAAAATCGGTAGTAATTTTTAAAAACACGCATTTAACAACACATATCGAATGATTCCGAAAATTTATAATTAATAGAAAGTTACATTCAGTTTGAAAAATGTTTAATTAATCATGGAATACTTTTTTCTATTAAAGGTTATTTAGATGTTTTGCTGATTTAATTAGCCTTATCCATCTCTGGATATCGTGGACTATTTCTAATCAATATCACATGATATGAAGGCAAGGAGGTTAAAATGGGCAGGGAATGTACCTCTAGCATAACGTAACCTCTACATACAAAATGAATGCTTCAATAGAAGGCAAAATACAACATGCAAGGTCAAAAACCAGATGCTTAGATAGAATCAACTGCACCTTTATTGATTGTATCTAGAGAATTCCCTGTTGAGCTGCATGCAGATAACAAGGTATCAGCTCCGAGCTAAATGGCCTGCTCATCTTGACCTCCTTGCCTTCTTACCATGTGATATTCATGAATTATTGGTTTTTCTCCCCCATGCCTTAGTATTCTGAACCCAGATCACTGCAGTTATCGTGCGGAGGATTTTTTTCTCAAATCTATCAATACATATTTGTAGGGTGCTGGATATAAAAACTGGCTTCATCATAGCATCGTCTAATGTTAATTTAATTTCTTGAGATGTTTCGGAATTTCTATATCTTTGAAAGAGATAATAAAGCTCTGTTTGCGATTATTATACTATTACGATTGTATTGTAATTTAACAACCCTGTTAGACAATTTTTTTTTTAATCGGTAGTATTTTTAAAAACTACGCATTTGACAACATAGATCGAACAGTCTGAAAATTTATAATTAATTGAATGTTTAATTTACTTTGAAAAATGATTAGTCTTGGAAATAGTTGAATTTGATACGGAAAACCTTTTCTGGTTTGAAAAAATGTTCAATATGACTTGGCAATGCTATATCATACGTGGGCAACCTTTTTATCATTAGAATCCGTATTAAGGTTAGGAAGTGATTAGTGTTGCACAAAATCGGTCCAAGACCAAGACAAGGACTGGTAAAAAAAAATCGTTTTAAAAAAAATAAAACTGAGCCAAAATAGTTACTAATACTTGATAATCTTAGTTAATATATGTTAATAATTGGTATAACCAATATACTTTTGCATTTAACTACTCTAATTTTTCATTCGGGCTTAGTTAGGTTTCTCCTATCTAAAAAATTACAGTAATATCTCTAGAATAATAAGCTAATAAGTAACTGCAAGACAGTTGCGAAAGTGTCGCGCAAGACCAAGACCATGACCAAGACTGAGTTTGCAAGACTTGCCTTGGTCTCGCATTTGGGCAACACTAGAAGTGATAATGGACACCGCAATAATTTTTGATATTTTACTACTGATGTTTTTATTTCTAAGTAAATATACACCCAAATACATATATTCAACTTAATTCTATTAATTTTCAATTCCTCGTAACCCAAATAATCAAATATCAATTAATTCTAGCGCTAAATTAATAATGATCGTGCAAAAACTAAAGAGGGCCGCACCTAGTTCACAGATTCCTCACCTGCTATATTACAATAAATACATTTATTATTTACAAAAATAGATTTATTGTTTGTTCTCCAGGTAGGCCGACTGTGTTAAAAGCCATTTCTCAAGATATCCAGGATCAGATCGACGAAGGCTACAGCAACTACTCGTATAACGAGTACCTTTCAAACCGGATATCTCTGCACAGGAGCCTCCCGGACATGAGAGACCCCTGGTGCAAGGAGGATGGCCGCTTCCTCTCGGACCTGCTGCAGACTTCCATCGTGATACCGTTCAGGAACGAGGCCTGGAGTGTCCTCTTGAGGACGGTGCATTCTGTTCTGGACAGATCGCCGCCGCACCTCATCAGGGAGATCATACTGGCCGATGACTTCTCTGACATGGGTAAGCAGGTATGAAGGGTATTGTTGAGGAAAGGAAAACAAAAAAGTATGGTGCAATGCATCACACAACTTTCAATTGCCACTTACATAAGCTCAGAGCTGGATAAATGTTATACACAAATATGCGTGCGTTCAATTTTATGAATCTTGCGTATTTGGCCTCTCGAAAGCTTAAGTCAAGTATTTCGTTTAAAAATTCGATTCTAAATACTTCATATATACATAATATTAAATCCATTTGAAATCATACGTTTTTGATTTATATAATTTCTTTTTCAACTGAAAACATGTTTTGGAAAAAATTGCTTTAACTCTAGTAATTTAGTAGATATGAAACTAAAGAAAAAACTGGAATAAACGTGAATATTTTTTAATACATTTTTTGCTTATCAATACACTACCTTAAAAGAAAGGGAAAATTTTTTTTTATTTCTTAATGACATTTACAACTGTTTTAAAGAAATACATTTAATAAATTCTACATTTAGTCTACATTAAGAGATCACGGAACCATCTTCTTTTCAGACGCCTTGGAGAGTTATCAGGAATTGAAGAGGAAGCAATGTTAGAAACGAGAGGGTTGGGATGATTCTAAAGTTTATTATGAAATGATAGATGTATGGATTGGGCCAGATCTGAAACATAAGGAACATTAAGGTCATTATGGATGGTTTTATTTGTAACAAAGTAGGGAGGATTGAGGATTTTACGAAGGATTTTAGATTCTAAGGATTGGATACGAGAGGAATTCGATGGTTTAGTGGAGCCCCATAGCTCAACTCCGTAAGTCCAAATAGGTCTTATTATAGTCATGTATATGAGTCTTTTGTAATTAATTGGAAGTTTAGAGCGTTTGTCTAGTAAGTGCTGAAGTAATCCGAAACGTCGAGAGGTTTCTTGTCGTTTCGGTCTGGTATGAGTATATAAAATATAGAGTAATTAAATAATCAAAAGAGAAAAAAATTATAGAAAAAATTATAAGTTACTTATTAATTTATATCAGTTAATAATAAGAACAAAAAATTGAAAATAAACATGAAATAAAAATAATAAAGAACGATCTAATAATTTATATACATATTTAGAGTAGTAACTATTTACAATTTTATGGGGACTGGATGGATAAGAAATGATTGGACAGGCGGGATTTAAAGGTAGGAAGGGTTTTGTATTGACAGATGTCGGGAGGGATGGAGTCCCATAGGGAAGAGGATCGGATAATGAACGATCTGTCGAAAGCAGTTCTTTGGGCCCGTATGTATAAATCAGAAGACCGGGAACGAGTATTGCGGGAACGAATGGAGTATTTGAATTGAAGGAGCTCGGAGATGTATGAAGGAAGGTGGGATTGGACGACTTGAAAGAGGAAGGATGCCATGAAATACTTGTGACGGTAAGGAGGATAAAGCCATTTCAAATCTGCATAAAAACGAGAAACAGAGGCGTCCCTTGGGATCCCGAAGATGAATCGTCCAAAGCAATTTATCAAACGTTTTAATTTCGCCTCGAGATCCCCAGAGACGCCCCCATATACCGAACAGCAATAGTCAAAGTGGAGAAAATTAAGGAAGTTACTAGGAGCCTACGGGTTTCAATGGGAAATAGGTGATGGGAGTAATTTAGACGTTTTAAAGTGGAAATGGTACGGTGGGAGATGTTGGATATATGATTTTTCCAGAAAAGTGTTTGATCGAAGGTTATTCCAAGGTTTTTAATGGAGGGATAAAATTTGATGGGATTATACTGAAGGAACAGAGTTGGAATATTAGGAACAGTTTTAAGGAGGTGATTAGAGTCTATTAAGATTACCTCCGTCTTTTCAGCACTCAAATTCAACTTGTTAGCTCTCGCCCAGACACAAATCCTATCCTAGTCTTTTTGAAGTTTTTCTGTGGCTGATAATTGTGGGCGGGAAGGACAGGTATATTTGGAAATCATCTGCATAGATGTGGTATTGGGAGTGATGGATCAGGAAGGGAAGGTCATTAATATAAATAGCAAAAAGAGTAGGAGATAGAGAGGAACCTTGAGGGACACCACAAGAGAGGGGAAGTGTCTTTGAGGGAGATTGATCTGGGACGACTATATACTGAGACCGATTTGAAGGGAACGATTTGTAAGGCATAAGCCAAAAAAGATAAAAACTTGCTGTGTTCATCACTGGTGTGCTTACCTTAGTATTGAATATTATTATATACGAAATAGCGTTAGACGAAAAAAATCTTTAACTCTTAACTTCACATTTTCTAGAGCATTTGAAGTGGCAGTTGGACGAGTACGTTTCCAGGCTGCCCAAAACCAAGATCGTGAGGGCCGCCAAGAGGGAGGGCCTCATCAGGACGAGAATGCTGGGCGCCAGTTTTGCACAGGCTCCCGTCATCACCTTCTTGGATTCCCATTGCGAGTGCACGATTGGCTGGCTCGAACCGCTCCTCGATCGGGTCACCAGGAACTACACGACCATCGCCTGCCCGATTTCGGACTCCATCAACTACGAGACGTTCGGCTACGAAGAGTTCATGCTGGGAAACCACGTACCGATCAGCGGCTTCAATTGGAAGTTAGAGGTAAGCTTCTTTGTCCAAATGGTCAGTTATCAACATAGAAATGAAAAAATAATAATACTTTATTTTATTGTAGGACGAGTCTTAGAATAATACAGAAAGACAGAAATGTGGGCTAAGGAGCCTCAGAGATACATAAAAAATGATCACAAAGTAATAAATAGTCATAATAAAAAAAAAAATTATAAGCTACTTTATAACTTTAATAAGTTAATAATAAAAAACTGAAAAAGCATGAAATAAAAATAATTAAGAATGATCTAATAATTTATGTACATATTTACAGTAATGTCTACTACAAACAATAGTGATTAGCAATTAACCATTTTCTTTTGGAAACTATATTCATCCAGTTGTCGGTAGTGTATTGTTCTTCAATCTATTGGGTTAAATTTATTTTGACCAACAATATATTGACCATTATTTAATATGACTCTTTCCCATTTTCCCACTAACTGAATAATGTTAATAGAATGTCTGGAATTCATTGTTAAAAAACTGATCTAAGTGTTTTTTTATGCCCTCTTTCTTTTGGGATTTCTTTTCATTCGTTGAGTTCAGCAGAGACCAGATAAATGGTAGTCACTCAGAGCCAAGTCTGGTGAATAGAGAGGGTGAGGCAAAGGTCCCGTCAGAGGCTCAATAATTTATTGCGAGTAACCAATGAGATGTGAGGCCAGGCGTTGTCTTGGTGGAACACAGCATCCTTCCGATTTGCCAGTCCTGGGCGTTAATTTTTAAATGATTGATCCAATTTTGTTAATTATGAGCAGTATAGAGTTGAATCAATTGTTTGTCCTGATGGCGATAGCTCATAGAAAATAACACCCTTGAAATGCCACGATATGGAAAGCATTATCTTCTTTGGATGCAATCCGGAATTTGACATTCTTCTAGGAGATTTTCTACGGAATATAAAATCGTAAAATAACCATTTTTCATGTCATGTTGCCAACCTTTTCAAAAATGGGTCATTTTGTAGCCGTTTCCGTAGTGAATCACAAACAGAAATGCGTGTTCTGACCGAAGTTGACTTCGGTTAGAGAGTGAGGGACCCAAACATTAAGCCTGGAAACATAGCTGAGCTTGTGCAAATGGTTTTCAAAGCTTGTGTGCGACAAGCTATATATATATATATATATATATATATATATATAAATATATATATAAGAGAGAGAGAGAGAGAGAGAGAGAGAGAACGAACTAATAATTTATGTACATATTTACAGTAGTATCTATTTACAATTTTATAGGCACTGGATGGATAAGAAATGGTTGAACAGGCGGGATTTAAAGGTAAGAATGATATTGGATTGACGGTTGTGGGAAGGGACGGAGTTCCATAGGGATGAGGAGTGTATAAATCAGAAGACCGGAAACGAGTATTGCGGGAGCGAACAGAGAATTTGAATTGAAGGAGCTCGGAGATGTATGAAGGACGGTGGGATTGGATGACCTGAAAGAGGAAGGATGCCAGAAATACTTGCGGTAGGAAGGATAAAGCCACTTCAACTCGGGCATAAAAACGGGAAACAGAGGCGTCCCTTGGGATCCCGAAGATGAATCGTACAAAGCAATTTATCAAACTTTAATAATGGCCTTAACATTTCAATTTCATGTGGGCGACCAGACCGTTGAGCATCATGTCAAAATTCCCTGAATGAAATTTAGCACACCAATTTTGACAGGTGTGTCCGGTTAAGGCATCATCCCATAAACACTGCAAATTTTTCTAAGAGCTTCTGAAGCACGTTTACCTTTTTTAAAATAATAAAAACAAATATGGCGATACTGAATGATATTTTCTTCCATATTCACAGTATAATACTGAACACAATAATAAGCTAGTTACAACAAGAGTTAACAGATATAGTTGTTGATATATTACAAACAGGATAAACAATCTTCATTAGGGATTAATTCATCAGACAAGAAGTGTATCATAGTGATATAAATTTTTTTTAAAATTTATTTATTCATGATATTTATAACTGTATTAAAAAATTAAATACATTAAGTAAATTTGATAACAGAAAATAATAACAGGAAATGACTTGTTGAGAAACTACCCACTGGTAGCACTCTAAAAACAAAATGTATTTACAATAAGAGATCTCGAGACCATCTTCTTTTCAGACGCATCGGAGGGTTATCAGGAATAGAAGAGGAAGCAAGGTTGGAGACGAGAGGATTCGGATGGTTCTGAAGTTTATTATGGAAGGATTGGTATCTGGATTGGGCCAAATCGGAAACATAAGGAACATTAAGGTCATTATGGATTATTTTATTGGTGAAAAAATAAGGAGTATTGAGGATTTTCCAAAGGATTTTGGATTGTAAGGATTGGATACGAGAGGAATTCGATGGCTTAGTGGAGCCCCAAAGCTCAACTCCGTAAGTCCAAATAGGTGTTATTGTAGTCATGTTGCAAGTCTTTTGTAATTAACTGGAAGCTTAGAGCGTTTGTCTAGTAAGTGTTGGAGTAGTCGGAAACGTCGAGCTGTTTCTTGTCGTTTCAGTCTGGTATGAGGATTCCAAGCTAGACGTTTGTCCAAGTGAAGTCCAAGGTATGGGATTTTTTCAACAGGGATAAGTGGGGTATTATTAAAGGATACTGTGGGACATGAGGTCATAGGTTTACGTCGAAGGGTAAAGGTGATTTGATGGGATTTATTAGAATTTATTTTAATCCTCCAGTTGATATAAAAATAAACAGAAAAACCGAAAGGACTTATTTGTCAACCCAATAGAAAAAACTGGAATCTTTCAATCAACAAGGAAACTTATTATTTTCATTTAACGCTTAGCCGGTCCTTACTGGGTCCTCTGTATATAACTGGTAGATTCACACTAAATCCCGAATGAAAAATTGGAAGAGTTAAATGCAAAAGTATATTGGTTCTACCCATCTTTACATATATTAACTAGAATTATCTAGTATTAGCAACTTTTTTAACTTAATTTTTATTCACATAAACGCTTTTTTTTTCTTCGACCTGCCTTAGTCTTGATCTTGTTACAAATAGGCGTTCTTCGTCTACACCTGGATTTCGGGCTACACTAATTAAAAAACAATCGATGGGTTGTAGTGATACTTGGCTTTTCTTTTTCTTTTTAATTTTTGTATATATGTTTATATACTTGTATATATATTTATTATGTACAGATGACCTGGGAATATTTTACGGAACGAGGGGAGAAAAAAAGGAAGCATCATTCGGAGCCAGCCCACAGTCCATCCATGGTCGGAGGCCAGTTCGCAATCCATCGCAAGTTCTGGCACCACATTGGTATGTATGACCCGGGCTACGAGATCTGGGGAGCGGAGAACTTCGAAATTTCAGTAAAAGTTGGTATAGTAGTATATTATTCAATTATTATTTTTATTTTCAGAAGTTAGTCGGAGTTGCGGGCAATAAATTCTATATTATATGAAAGTATATTTATTGCATTGTCCAACGTTTCGAACTAAGTTGTAGGGTTTCTTCAGGGCATTCCGTCTGACAATGCTGAAGGCAGTACGAGGGCTGGCAGTCTAATGTCAGTAAAAGTGAGGGATCCCCTTTCTACCTATCTTTTCTTTATTTAGTAACTAGCTCTACCCGGCCACGCGCTGCTGTGGCTTAGCCTGGCAAAATGAAAGAGAAAGAAAATAGAAAGCAGATATGAGTAGATTAGTAGCAAAGGACATCTGTCATTTTTAAAAAGTTGGGAAACAAATTTGTCTGTAAAATGGCTTCAATTAAAATTAATTCTAATTGTTTTTTTTTCTCATGATTCAAATTGAACATTCATAATCATCTGAGTAAAAGCGCCCTCATTCATAAGCATCAGGAACAGTCTGAGTTGAATTTATAAAACTAAATAAAAAAATTAATTTAAAAACGTATAATAGTATTGACCTACATAAGGAGAATCATATACATTCTTCAAATGATAATTTCAATTACTGTAGTAATTATAAAATTTTCGATTAATCAATAAAAAAAAAAATACTTGCCGACGTTCGGTAGTGAGCAAACAAAAGGAAACGGCTTTTTCTGAAGAGAAAGCAGTAAATGTTTAAAACTCAATAAATCTGCAACGAACCGTCCGATTTCGATAATTTTTTTTTATTTCGTCGGCAAATCAGGAATCTTTCAAATATGGGAATTATCAGTCAAGTATTATTAGCCAAGTTTCGTTAAAATCGGTAAAGCCGTTTTGGCACTACAGTTTATAGCGACACATTTTTTGCGGCTTTGAACAGAAAAACATTTACATTTTTATTTTTTTCACATATATAAAATTATCGTAAGACAGAAGTACTATGCCAGAAACCTTCCCAGGCGTGTACGGAACGACTTTCCAAAGTTTCATGGCGATTGGTTGAATGGTTTAGTAATGCACTAAGGACAAACAGACGGACAGACAGACATGCATTCATTTATATATATATATATATATATAGATATTAGATTCTGTCACATCCGAGGACACTAGTAGTAATGATGGAGTAGCACACTCACACTCTATGCACTGGCGGATCTAGGATTTAATTTTGGGGGGAGGGGCTTCAGCCCGGAAGTTTTTTTTTCATGAGTTATGGAATGGACTTAATCCGTGACAAATAATAATAATAATAGTGATATTAATTTAACTTTTATTTTGTTAAATAACCCAATTGGTGAATCATGTTTTATCTTTTAGTTTCTCACGACTCAAATCATAAAAGCACAAAGCCAAGTCAAGCTATCTCTGACTTGAAAATAGTTATCTAGAATGTACCGACTTGTGTCCAGTCGGTACATTCTAGATAACTATAATTTCCCCATGTTTTTCCCCATTACACAAACAAGTCAGCTTCCCTTATATCTGCCCCTACCCCTGGTTTTACAGTTCTAAGTGAAACTCCTAGCTGAACACATCTCTAAGTCTCTTATTTTATACTTCCATTTTATTTACTTATTTATTTAATTTTTGGTTTCCCTTTCTTTTCTTTCTCCACATTCCTTTATGCCTATTATTTCATATTATACATTTTTCTTTTTCTTTCAACCTCTATTGCAGATCTGTAGAAGTATATTCACATTTGCATTTATTATATATTACACTACAACAATTGTTAGCATCTATTTACTTCAGTTGAGGATCTTGTTACTTAGCTTACTTTGTTCATATTTTAATGTACTTATTGTTTATAATTCTAATAAGCTTATTCACATTGTTTATAAATTTTGTCTAAATATTATGTAACTGCCACAATTCTTTATCTTTTTTTTTATCTTGTCCGTTCTAGCCCTGAAGAAGACCTGCAAAGTCGGGTCGAAACGTCGGCTTTCAATAAAATAGTTTTACCACTATTTAACCTATTTATGACCGCCACTCCGGGCCATCTCCTTCCTTTATAATGCAACGGTCAACTATTAAATATTGAGTATTCAAAAAGAAACTAAACTAATCAAAATTTCAATTTAAATACATACATATTTTTATACAATATTTATAAAAGTCATTCGCTCAAGAGAACTCCGAGCCAAGCCTTTACCCCACTTGTGAAAGGAAAGACAGGACTCTAGGAGATCCCAGCGCTATAACCAGACATACATAGTCTCTGGGGTGAAGGGATGGAGGTGAAGCCATGGAGCAGTTCCAGTCGCAGGAAACGAAGAGAGGAGGTTGTCCTTACGCGACTGAGAATAGGTCATACCAGGCTTACGCATTTTTACTTAATTACGAAAGAAAGCCCGTCCATTTGTCGGAAGTGTGGAGAGAGAATGACAGTGGTCCATATCTTCGAGAGTTGTACCTTTTACATTAAACAATTAAACATAAGGGAAATACCAGCAAATACACCGGCTGCTTTGAGAAATGATGGAAACATCCTAGGCAAAAATATATGTTTTCTTTGATAAGAAGGAATCTTAAAAAATATCTGAACCTCTCACGCAGCACTCCGCACCTCTTTTTTTCCTCTTACCATTTTTTTTTTCCTTTTCTTTTATCTAACGTGCGAAAATTAAATAAATAAAATTTAATAACAAAGAACAACTTCTAATCTTAACGTGCATTTTACATTTTTTTAAAATCCAATTCTTAATATTAATAACCAAAAGATATAGTAATATATATATATTTTTTTTTTTTTTATTTCTTTATGACATTTACAACTGTATTACATAAATACATCAAGTAAATTTGGACATAATTGATATAATGACATGAATACACTTGCTGAGTAACTACCCAATGGTAGCACTCTAAATAATATATAACTTTGATGACCAACAGGTTCTACGCCTTTACTACAGAACCAACCAACCATAGTCTCTGGGCCACTGCCGCTTCAACCTTCGAGGATTGTAGGGATGGGTCGAGCTGTATACGGATTGTGCAAGCGGATTAGTATTTATTTGTAGTTGGATTTGTAGCTATTTGCATTTGTATTTATATTTCTTTGTATAGTTAATATTTTGGCAGGAAGTTTCAAACATTAGAATAATCCATCTTGATAAATAATTATTTATCAAGTAGAAGGAAAAACTGCTTTGAAACATTATCTTCTTGAAATATAAATGAATCATGGCTAAGTGAAAATGTAAATTTTTCGCTTTCAAGGCTATCTTTTAATTTCCATTTTATTATCTTTGAAGTTATGTTACATATATTTTTTTTATCTGTGTTTCATTTTTTTTTCACATGTAGGTTTTTACATAAATTATATTCGTGGGAATTTCAAAGCATGCGATGCCATGAATGTTAATATATTGGGTTAAAAAACAACAACTAAGGTGTGTGCTTTAGACCACACGATAGAAGTGAAATATCTATATATATAAAAATTAATGTATGTCTGTCCGTCTGTTTGTCCTCAGTGCATTACTAAACCATTCAACCGATCTCCATGAAACTTTGGGAAGTTGTTGTGTACAATACTGGGAAGGTTTCTGGCATAGTACTTCTGTCTTACGATAATTTTATATACGTAAAAAAAATAAAAATGTAAATGATTTTCTGTTCAAAGCCACAAAAAAGTGTGTCGCTATAAACTGTAGTGCCAAAACGGCTTTACCGATTTTGACGAAACATGGCTTAAGTCTTCCCCTTGAAACCCTTTTAATTTATGTGTATAACATACTTTCCCGAAAACAAGCTGACAAATTTTACGATGAATTCAATATTTTATTTGACGATAACTAAAAAAGTACACAATTTTTGATTGATAATACACACATTTATTTGAAAGATTCCTGATTTGCCGTCAAAATTTAAAAAAATCATCGAAATCGGACGGTTCGTTGCAGAGTTATTGAGTTTTAAACATTTACTGCTTTCTCTTCAGAAAAGGCCGTTTCCTTTTGCTTCCTCACTACCTAACGTCGGCAAGTATTTTTTTTTTTTTTTATTGATTAATCCAAAATTTTATTATTACTACAGTAATTGAAATTATCATTTGAAGAATTTATATGATTCTCCTTATGTAAGTCAATACTATTATACGTTTTTTAAATTAATTTTTTAATTTAATTTTATAAGTTCAACTCAGGCTGTTTTTGATGATTATGAATGACGGCGTATTTACTCAGATGCACTAGCGGATCCAGGATTTAATTTTGGGAGGGGGCTTCAGCCCGAAAGCTTTTTTTTTCATAAAAGTAACGATAATTACTTTGGAAAATACGAAAGAAACTATGTACCTATACGAACTGGTGTTTAAGTGATTCCTAAAGCCCTTTTAAATGTAATTACACGAATAATTATACTTTAAGAGATAATTTTTTAGTATTTTTTCCGATAAAAAATGGTTATATTTTACCATTTTGGGGGGGGCTTCAGCCCGAAAGCCCCCCCCCCGTAGATCCGCCCGTGCTCAGATGATTATGAATGTTCAATTTGAATCATGAAAAAAAAAACAATTAGAATCAGTTTCAATTGAAGCCATTTTACAGACAAATTTGTTTCCCAACTTTTTAAAAATGATAGATGTCCTTTGCTACTAATCTACTCATATGCGCTTTCCATTTTCTTTCTTTTTCATTTTGCCAGGCTAAGCTACAGCAGCGCGTGGCCGGGTAAAGCTAGTAAATTATAAATAATAGCTCCTAATAAAGAGGTTGAAATGCAAGTCCGATTTTAAGTTGATATATTAATCTATATCTTTCATGAAACTCGTGTTATGATTTAATATCTTAATCCTGCGCTCCTACCTCTCTGATCGCACCTTTCGAGTTCGCTGTGGTACAGAATTTTCCAATTCCTACGCAGTTGAAGCTGGTGTTCCTCAAGTCTCTGTATATCCCGATACCTTCCTGCCAACATTTGCTGATGACACCGCCATCCTATCATCCAACTCAGAAATAGCCTTCTCAAAATTGCAAAGGCACCCTTCTCTGATTGAGCACTGGTGTATTAAATGGCGCATCAAAGTAAATGAATCCAAATGCAAACATATTCAAGGTAATAGGTAACTAAAGGCAGCACAGATTGATCGAGAGCACTTTAGCTATATACACTCATGTCTTGAGTGGACAATCTGGTCACTGATAGAACTGCAATGTATCCATATTTACAAAATATCTCGGGGCCACTGCCGCTTCAACCTACGAGGGAGATTGTAGGGATGGGTGGTGCTTGATTTTACTACGGGATTTGGGTGATAAGTAAGGTTCTGGTGAAATGTGGGAAAATTTTCTGGTATAAGATCAAGAATAAATGAAATATTAAGGTCATTATGAAGGGTTTTATTGATTACATAGAAAGGAACATCGACTATTGTACGGAGGACTTTAGACTGAAAGGATTGAATGCGTTTGATGTTAGAAAATTTAGCTGTTCCCCACAGTTCTAGTCCGTAAGTCCAGATGGGTTTCAGTATTGTCTTGTAGATCAGTAATTTGTTTTCACCAGAAAGTTTAGATTTTCTATTCAGTAGTCTATATAGCTGGCCATATCGTCTGTTAAGTTCCTGTCTTTTAAGTCTAGTATGTGGATTCCACGTTAGTCCGTCTGTCTAAGAGAAAGCCAAGACATCGGACTTTTCTCATTATAAATAGGATGGAATAATGAAAATTTCCTTCCCTAACAATATGAAGGTCCAATTTTTAGTTTTTGAGATATTTTAATCAATATGCAAAAACACCGATTTTATCCAAGCGTTACACATCGGAGATCTGACGGCTCAATCTGATTCACTCTCAACATAAAAAGTGCAAAACCCGCCTACAGATCAAAAACAAACCCAATTTTATAAACCTTGGTGCTCAAATGACTAAATTTCACTGTTATCTTTGTCTAATATACCTTTATTTTTTTTTTAAATAATTGACCTTTTCAAAATGATTTTTAATATAAAAAGAGAGCGGTAACCCTCAACAGCTTCGCCCTTAGCACTCCACAACTTGTGCAGAGGAGATCAATGTTTACACCATAATAGCACGGAATTTCCCAGGTCCCGTAAGATCCAGTAGTCCGGGAGGACCGAAGTCTTTTCTAGCTGCCTTCCTTCCACGAAGTGTCTTGCTTACTACTGAAGCATTTATTATTGTATAGAAGCTTTCTGTTGGATTGAACCGAACAATATGTCCAGCCCATCTTAACCTCCTTGCCTTCAAGTCATAAGATATTGATTGACCAGTTTCTCTTAACGGGTTCTTTATGGGTCCTTTTCTTTCATGCGTTAGCATCCGGGTCACCGTGCAAATCATGATCCTTTCAAAGCTTGGAAGACTTTGACTACAAGCTGGTAGTTTTGTACAATCTTGATTAGACGTTCCTAAAAGTATCTAATGTTACAAATTACTGAAATATATTATTGTAAATATATTTTGAGATTAGAATCTATTTTATTAGGCTTGGATGTGCGGAGGATCCGTTGAAGTCATCCCATGCTCGAGGGTCGGCCATGTCTACAAGAAGAGGAACCACTGGATCAGGTCCAAGGATTACCTCATCATCTGGAGGAACTACGCTCGACTCATAGAAGTCTGGATGGACGAATACGCCAGCAGGTTCTATGACAACATCGGCCGTAATTTGGTATACCTTTTTTTAATAACTTATATAATTAATAATTAAAAGCTAAATTTATATAAAACAAAAAACATTTAAATGTCCTCCTGGATATTGCCTGGGCCAAATCACATTAGGATTACTCTAAACGCCAATAAGACGAAAGCCACCCTCACTCCTCAAATCCTTACAGACACTCCCCAATCTTTTCCTGAACAACTCACCTATCTCATTCCATACTTCCGTAAAAAACCTTGGTGTTACATTCGATCAAACTCTCTCCTGGAAACCACACATCTCCCAAATTTCCCGCCGTACTATCTCAACCCTAAAACAGTCTCCGCTATCTCCTTCCATATAAATCCCGTCAACTCCTGGTTTCCTCCCTTGTGTTCCCCCACTTCGACTATGGCTGTCTGGTGTACGGCGGACTCTCGGGAGAATTCGAGGCCAAACTTAAACGCCTAATGAACTACGCAATACGTTTTGTTTTCGGAATCTCAAGAGATACGCATATAACCCGATATTACACCAAGTTGAAGTGGCTCTATCCATCCAACCGCCATATGTATTTCCATGCTACCTTTGTATATCAAGCCATCAGAACTCAGCGGCCTTCCTATATTTTTCACAGCCTACAATTCAAATATTACATTCAATCCAATAACGGTTGTCTTCACTCTATTTTCAATATAGTTGCAAGGGTAATAGCTAAATAGCTATAAGTATTATCTTGAAAATAGATAAAGAATTTGAAAATATATTCAATATTCATACCTCTAATCTTGTAAGAGATTAATAATAACAAGCACTAATACATCGGAATATTGTTATTAAAAAAAAAAAAGACTGTTGATAGAATATTGTATCGACATTTACACCCTTATCTCGTGCATGTTCTCTTTTCGAGGATTTCTGTATTGAAATTTTATCAAATTGTATCATCATTCATTATATGAACTGTATATAATGAATCAATGTTGACAGATTACACTGACAGCAATAAAAAACGATAGCGCCACCACACGACAGTACCCGCATCCAATTCACGTTGCCAAAACAGTTTATTTGCAATCAAATTCCTTCGTAATTCTGCTGTCAGCGTTAGCTTTTAATTAAGAATTAAATATTTGATGTTTGCAGGTTTTAAAATGATATTTACTTTATAGGTTAGGTTAGGTTATGAGTAGTCTTAAGCAATCAATAACTTGGTTATTAGTCCGTGGTACGGACCCTATATTATGGAACCCTTTTTATCAAATTATGAACATTTATTAAATTATGACCTACAAATATTGTATTTACGAAAACGGTACTGGTGAGCGAGCGCGGCCTCTATGGACTGCTATCTGCAGTTATCTTGTTATTTAAAGTGTTGTTGTTGTTATTTATATTTCTTAATATTAAATTATTATATTATTATTATATTTTATTTCTTATCTGTAATCCTTTATATAATATATATATATATATATATATATATATATATATATATATATATATATATATATATATATATATAAATAAGAAATAGGCAAAAAAGAGGCAACACCATAGGGATTATCAGTGCCTTATACCAATTATCAGTGTTGAGGTTATAAACAGTTAATAATAAGAAATATAAATAACAACAACACTTTAAATAACAAGATAACTGCAGATAGCAGTCCATAGAGGCCGTGTCGCATCAAAAGTACCATAAAAACTTTTGGAATTGGGCCGTTTTGAATCTAGGGATCGCCAAACTTTGTATATTTAATTAGGTACTAAAAACTCTTATATACTCATTTGATTTCCTATTAAATCGTAAGATAATTTGATCACAGAATTGAGAAAAAACTGTGGCCTACAAAAATATTAGACTGTTTGGCCTATATACCTCGTTTTTTTTTAAATGGAAGGTAGGCACGCCAAAGGGTCCAATAAAAAATGCAAAGTGCTCCTTAGCCGTTACACTAATGGTCTTTATTGAAAAAGTTTGTTTGGCGATGAGAAAATGTTAACAATTGAAAAAAAATTTAATCTCCAAAATGATTATGTGTACGCACACAGCTCTAAAGGATCCCAGGAAGTCATAAGACGAGTGGAAAAACGTCATCACCCTTCCTCAGTGATGCTTTGGTGGGGAATTTGCTTTGATGGCACCACAAAGCTCCATTTTTGTGAAATATGAGTTAAAACAGCCGCTAAAAGCTATCAGGAAGATATTTTGGAACCTGCTGTCAAGCCTCTAAATGATACTCTGTTTGCTGGAAGTCATTCGGTTTTACAGCAGGATTTCGATCCAGCTCACAAGGCCAGGTCAACTCGGCAAAAGAACATTCCAGAGTTCAGCACAGCCTGACTTGGAAAGCCTCAAACAATCTCTGGTCCGAGCAGTTGAGCGCTTTCCTCAAGAATTGCTGCGTGCTGCTATTTGAAGACTGGCCACGGAGATAAAATGTCTGTGTCAAGGCGAAAGGGGGACATTTTGAATAATTTCTTCTTTATCTACTCTCTATAGATATACATTTTATTTTCTAGTAAAGTTTTTGAAAAAAATAATTTTTCTGTTGAAATCTGCATATATTTCCTTGTATATATTTATATGTATATACTTCCTGTATATATTTATCTTGGCAAAGTAGAAATTTGTAATGTATCAGATTGAAGTTCTGAAAATGTTTAAAATTATGTATCTATATGTATGTATATATATATATATATATATATATATATATATTATATATATATATATATATATATATAGATAGATAGATAGATAGATAATTTATTTTATTTGTCTAAGGTAATTCCTGTACAAATAAATATAATGGTATAATTAACAATGTTAGATCTTGAGTCTAGTACTGCATTCAAACATAACATTAACAATGTCTACAGCATTAAGTATGAATTATATAATAACAGATTAGTAAACGATATATATATATATATATATATATATATATATAATATATATATATATATATATATACATAACAATTAGTAAAACATTTTTTTATTTTTTTATTTTTTTAATATTCGAGAGGTATAAGACAAATGACAATATAAATAAGAATTAATATATATTATATGATTAACTTTACCACTTAACAGTTCAATGAACAGCCCTGTATGAAATAATACAGTTGGTTTATTTTATTTTTTTTATTTTTTTATTTATATATATATATATATATATATATATATATATATATATATATATATATATATATATATATCGTAATAAATGGACGGTTAGATAATTCTTTTTATATTCTTGTAACATGCTTCCCACACTTAGAAGTCTAAATATAGGAACATTATTAGGTTGCACGTAAAGTCCAATAGAATAGGTAAGGAATCTTCATTTCTCATAAAAAGATGCATTAGAAATAATCGCTATAATTATACTGATTTGTATAACGATTTCAGGAAACGTTTAAATTTGTTATTTATATAAAAAACCTGTGCGAGAACTATCGCACTAGATTTCCATCCTTCCTTCCACTAATATATTCTAAAATAGAAAATAAACTTTATTCTAGAATAGATAGAACAAAATACTGGTCAAAATGAAGTAACCAAAGTTCAACAGTTTATCCATTATGTATAGTTAGAAGTAAAATCTGGATTTATATGCAAATTCGTATTTTTTTTTTAAATATCGGTATCTTTACATAACAAGTCTTTTCTAAATCTTTTGGAAGTTTTTATGTTACAAATTTTTGCCATATAAGGGAAAAATTTATTACTTTTTTTTGCAAATTTAGGCTTCAAAGGATTGTATCAGGTCATCCTAAAAATTAGTTCGGGTTTTAAAAATCTGTGTTTACATTGATATGACTAATCCCTACTTTACAACTGAATTTTAATATAGCATTACATATTCTTCAATTGTTTATTTTTGTTAGAGAAAGTTAGTTATTATGTACTGATATTAAAGTTGAAATGAATTTTCCAAAAATCTGGTGTGTCCACTTACACAATAGTCCTACCTATTTAAGAAAAGTTTTAACATTTTTCAAATGAGAAACTATGTCTCAAAAAAGAAAAGTATTTTATTTAGGATGAACATTTATTAGAAAGAAAGAAAGAAAGTAAATTTTATTGTGGGACTTTTAGTCCCCTCAGATTAACTACAATGAACCTGAAAAGGGGCTTTCGGGCTCAAGCCTCGCCCCCCCCCCACAAAATGGTAAAATACAACCACGTTTTATGGAGAAAAAAAATTTAAAAACACCTCTTAAACTATTATTGTTCATGTAATTACATTTAAAAGGACTTAAGGAATCACTTAAACACCATTTCATATAGGTAGTTAGTTTATTTCTTTTTTCCAAAGTAATTATCGTTATTTTTATGAAAAAAAAAGGTTTCGGCCTGAAGGCCTCAAAATTAAATCTTGGATCCGCTAGTGACCTCTCCGACGTTTGCCAGTCGGTACAGCGCATATTAATTTTTTAGGAATACTTTCGTTACTGAACCCAGCGATTTTACATGTCTTTTTTATTCGCCTCAACTTAATCACCTCAATTATAGTAACCGGATACAGTTCACGCAATTCAGTGTTGTGTAAACGCCTAAATTCTCCGGTTGACTCGTCCTTTTTCGAATATTCTGCGCAATATATTTATTTTCAAAAACTTTAAGACGTTGCTCATCCCTTAATGTAAGCGGCAACATTTTGCATCTATAAAGAACCGTAGGTATGATAATGGTATTGTATATTCTAATTTTTAAGTTTCAGGACAGAAGGAGAGAACTAATTAATTTTAACTAAGGAAAATAACAAGCATTTCCCGCTTCCATCCTAACCATAGTATCCTCTTCAATTTTGTTTTTTTTCTTGTTATCATGGACTCTAGATACCTAAAATTGTGCACGTGTTCAAATAGATTTCCTTCTATATAGATGATATCATCGAAATTAATCAATGACATATATGTAAAAAAGAAAAAAATTAAATCAAAACGTTCTCGTCTGAAAAAAAATCAAATGTTTTTGAATAAAAATTATCATTTAATTATGAAAAGAAAAAAGAAAAACAAAAAAAAAGATGGAAGGTTCAAAGGTTTTAGTTCTGTGGGAAGGAATATAGAGGTCAGAATAACGGGATCTCATTTTATGTTGTGTTAATGCCCTAACCCAAGGATGGGAATCGCAGGAGACTGGATGTAGGAAGGATGTTCGAAGTTGTAGAGTTTGTTTTGTAAAAATCTGAGGAAGTCTCTCTTAATGTATGTGTACTATATAAGATTTTTTTTTTAATTTATTTATTGAGAATTATAACAATCTGTCACGTGAACAATAGTTTATAGTGATACATGAACACATTCACATCATGTATCACAAATGGAGTTACTTTATATATTCATTAATATTGACTAATGTAATTTTTGGCCAGATGTAGTTTTTCATATGTAGTAGTTCATATATGTTATTCATAAGGGACCTCGTCCCAGAATAAAGTTTATTTTCTATCTATCTATCTATCTATATATAGAAAATATAAAATTAACAAAAGTAAAATAATAATCAAAAACTATGTACAATAAAAAAATAATAACCTAAAGATAATTTTTTTTTTTAAGCTTTTATTATGATATTTACAACTGTATTAGTATGAATACATCAAGTAAATTTGTACAGAGAAATATTATTACATGAAACACGCTTGTTGAGAAACTACCCACTGGTAGCACTCTAATAATTTGTCTACATGAGAAGATCACGAGGCCATCTTCTTTTCAGACGCCTCGGAGGGTTATCAGGAATCGAAGAGGAAGCAAGGTTAGAAACAAGAGGATTCGGATGGTTATGAAGTTTATTATGGAAGGATAGGTATCTGGATTTGGCCAAATCGGGAACATATGGAACATTGAGGTCTTTATGGATTATTTTATTAGTGACAAAGTAAGGAGCATTGAGGATTTTACGAAGGATTTTGGATTGTAAGGATTGGATGCGAGAGGAATTCGATGGTTTAGTGGAGCCCCATAGCTCAACTCCGTAAGTCCAAATAGGTCTTATTATAGTCAAGTATATGAGTCTTTTGTAATTAAGGGGAAGTTTAGAGCGCTTGTCTAGTGTTGGAGTAGTCGGAAACGTCGAGCGGTTTCTTGTCGTTTCAGTCTGGTATGAGGATTCCAAGTTAGACGTTTGTCCAAATGAAGTCCAAGGTATCGGATTTGTTCAACAGGGATAAGTGGGGTGTTATTAAAGGATACTGTGGGACATGAGGACATAGTAAAGATAATTAAATTTAAAAACATAATAACACAGACATAAGAAATAAGGAAAACATTTAGATTCGTACAGTGAATGTATTATTATAAAAAAAATCGATTTTACATTGTTTAATTGTTGAAGCTCCATACTTAATAATGATTATGTTAAAACAACAGTTTATTTAATAGTAATTAGCTCTATAGGAAAATATATCTTTGGTTAAACAACAAAACTCAGCTACCGTAAACTAATACTAACCATGTCATTTTGTTTTACTTTCACTTACATATATATGAAATAGTAAAAGTAAAAGAAAGTATTGCGATCGTGAACATTTTCGAATCTCAGTTTTCAACGGAAATACACGTTTTGAGGTTCCGGGGAATCCAAATAACCAATTCTACAAAATGGTCTATGTGTGTGTGGTAACAGTCTAGCTCAATAAGAAATATCGTACGCAACTGAAATTGCATATTTAAGGATTGGCCAACCGGAAGTTATTGTTATTATTATTATAACAGTGTAAAGTTGAGCAGGTTTAAATAAAATGTAGGTTTTATTCTGATTGATGTTCTCTAACAGGGCTTAAATGGTAAATTTTCAATATTAGCTTCCTCTAAAGTACCTTTAGTTTTGTTATTTCAAATTATTAACTGTTTCACATTGATTTATGATATAACAATTAGTTTAATATAAAATGTATGTGTATATGGAACCTCAAAAAGAAGTATTTTAAAAATTCTTGACCCGATCCATAATGCTGCCTTGAGGATATGCTCAAGAGCATTTATGATTGCAAAATATGGGGCCAAAATAATGTCACTTCCACGACATCCCTTACGAGACATCATATTAGATCCACAAACAGTTTCAATCAATAGCAGTTTCAAGCGAAATATAATCCAAACAACGTTACCATTCAATATGAACCTAAATTGCATCCAAAAGCTCCCAGATAAAAAACTTTCCAAGGTGGAATCCTCCGAATATTCCTACAGAAAAATATATGTCCCACATCTAAAAAAAAACTCTAGTTTCGGATGAAAAAAAATCTTATTTTCTAGAATTATTAAATAAATACTGCAATTACAAAATATTGTACACAGATGCATCAAAAGCCGAAAACCAAGTGGGATTTTCAGTCGTTGCAGACAGTGAAGAATTCCTGTACAAACTTTCAGGAGAATGTTCTATTTTTACGGGAGAAGCCACGGCCATAAAAGAAGCACTCTTACACATCCGCAGCAACCACTTCAAAAATCATCATGCTATCGTAACCGATTCAATGTCCGTAATAGAAGCTATAGAACAATTAACGAACCAGCATCCTGTTATAACAGACATTTTTAACATATATGGTGAACTAAAGGAAGAAAATAAAAACATAGTCCTTATCTGGGCCCCATCACATTGTGGCATCCTGGGTAACGAGAGAGCCGATGCTGCTGCCAACTCTGGCCGGCGTCAAGGAACTGCACAAAACACAATAATTGATGCTATTCCTCGAGAAGATTGGACACACCAACTTGTCTGCTCCTTTCAAAATAAATGGCACGTTGAATGGGAAATGAGTTCGGCAAAACTTCAGGAAATATAAACAAAATGTATCGAATGGAACACATCAAACAGAAAGTCTAGACGAGAAGAAGTGATACTATGTCGCCTAAGAATTGGTCACTGAGTTTTCCCGTGGATACCTCCTGCGAGGATTAGAAGCTCCAACTTGCACATATTGTCTAGTACCCAGAACAGTAAAACATATACTATTAGAATGTAGAAGGTACACCAATATAAGGAAAAAATTTCAAATGGGAACGGAAATGAAAACAATTCTGCAAGATGGGGAGAATGAAATAGAAAAACTGTTCAAATGTCTAAAGAATATTCACTATTATCAACGAATATAAAATGGAAACATTAAGCCAATGACCCTTAGGGGTAGAGGCTAAATAAACAAATAAAAAAAAATGTGAAAGAATTTGTTAATTAACTAAAGGAGATATCAGAGATCGTAACGGACAATAGTAGTAATGGAGGAGCCAAAGGAATACGACATGAGTAACATGAGCTTAATATAATACGGACTCCGACAATATTATGTACATATACATATGCAATTTTCATAAATGCTATTGTTGGTATTAATAAATATTTAATTTTATAAATTACAACGATATAAAAATAAAAATTTGTATATAAGAGTACTTAAACAAATAAAAATAACCAAATTAAAATGTAAATAAATATGGCGTCTATAATTTTTACTATCACTTCTCCTGTGTCTGAAAATACTTATTTCTGCTAAGAAGAGAGTTGTGTGTGAAAGTTCTGTGATGCTTGCACCGCACCAGTTTTTTTTTTTTCATTGGTCCATATTTGTTTCTGTGTGTCATATGAACTAATATTCAAACAATCATAGTTATTACAAATATATAAATATTAATAATTTCTAATTATACATTACGGTGACTTTTGAAAATATAAAACAAATATTAATAACTGTTATATCAAAATCAGCGAAACGTAAAATTGATGTATATTGACTTCTTGTTCGAGAAAAAATAAACATTTGTGTAAAAACCAACATTAGAGTCATCCTAAAGAGTTTTATTACCATCTTTTTTACTTTTTTTTTATGATATTTACAACTGTATTACAAATAAAAATATATTCAGTAAATGTGAACAAAGTAATATAATAACATGAAACCACTTGTTGAGAAATTACCAATTGGTAGAACTGGTATTATGTTGAGAGAGTCCAGTACGTAAAAAACAAAAATTAAATTAGCTACTGGACTCTCTCAACATAATATGAAAACTAAACATGAATTTGATTTCAAAATGCCAAAATCCTACATAATGAAAGTAATACGAATAAACGTAGAATTAAGGAAGCAATATACATAACTAAAAACTTAAAAAACTCAGTAAATAATCATACAGACGTGGATAATATGAATACTTTACGCTAGTTCAATTGAAAAAATCAAAATTTGAAATAAATTAGCTAATATTACTTAAAATAGATCCACATATAATATTAAGAAACAGCATTATATATTTTAATAAATAGTCTTCCCCTAGTCCTATAAGGATAACCAGTCACTGAATAGAAATTAGTATGACATCTTGGTGTCTCAGAAACAAGGTAATTTTAACTTATTTGAATCATTTAATAGTAAAGAATTGAGTAATAATAATGTTGTTAAATAATTAAAGGTGAACTTGACAATAATGAGAATTTTATTATGAGTAGACGCTTGCAATTCGCATAAGTGAAAATGACAGGTACATGAGGGTATTTTAGGTACATAATAAGAATCTTTATAATTTGAAATATGTTAAAGTTAATATATGATTGTAAATGACAATTTTTTTAGACTTGAAAATGGACGCGAAACGTCGTCATTGTGATGAGTAGTCATTAAGTGACAATTTTTTTTAAAAATTGGTGTAAATATGGCTAATAATAAATTAATTTGAATATAATTTTAGCAGATGATAAATAAGTTATTCTAATTATAGACAGACATCGGGGATCTGACAGAAAGGAAGGAGCTGAGGAAGAGACTGAATTGTAAATCGTTCCAATGGTTCATCGACAACGTCTTTCCGGACCTGAGGGATTATTATGAGGTAATTTACAGTTTTACAAAAGTTATTCGAATTTTATATTCAATTATATTCAAAATTTTATATAGTAACAATACAAAATAATACAAAGATAGATAAACTTCCATTCACTCAAAGATCGGATTTAGCAAAATCCTAATTTATTTGTATTCTGACGTAATTTTCTGTCCTACAGTATCCTTTAACGATTCCCCACTTATCCCTATTGAACAAATCCGATACCTAGGACTCCACCTGGACAAACGAATCACTTTGAATCCTCATAAAAGACTGAAACGACAAGAAACTGCCTTTTCGATTACTACTCCAGCAATTACTAGCAAACGCTCTAAACTTTCTATATTTCAGGAGATCAATCCATGATATATAGGATCTGGGGATTGAGCTTGTCGCTCCACTAAACCATTGAATTCCTCTCGTATTCAATCCTTACAATCCAAAATACTTCGTAAAATCCTCAATGCTCCTTACTTTGTCACAAATAAAATCATTCATTACGCCTTAACGTACCATATGTTTCCGATTTAGCCTAATCCTGATACCTATCCTTCCATAACGAACTTCAAAACCATCCGAATTCTCTCGTTTCAAACCTTGTTTCCTCTTCGGTAACTTATAATCCTCCAAGGCGTCTGAAAAGAAGTGGCCTCGTGATCTACTTATGTAAATATATTATTTGAGTGCTACCAACGGGTAGTTTCTAAACAAGCGTTTTCATGTGATTGTATTATTACCTTGTACACATTTACTGGATATATTTTTAATTTATACATCTTATGAATAAATAAAAATAAAATAAATTCGTATCCTACATAGATTTCTTTCGTGGCAAATTTGAGAATTAGATGCATCTGTGGCCTTGGTTTGAGAAGGTTCTAATTAAGAAATTTAGGCAAATTGAGTTTACTGACTGTGAAGGATCCCACGCTATTCAATTCTACTTAAGGATGGCTATTAGTGTTGCCCAAATGTGAGACCAAGACGGGTCTTGATCCTGCGCATTCAGTCTTAGTCTTGGTCTTGCGCAAGAGTCTCGCAACAGTCTTGCAGTTACCAATTAGCTTATTACTTTAGAGATATTACAGTCATTTTTTAGATAGAAGAAATCTAACTAAGCCCGAATAAAAATTAGAAGAGGAAAATGCAAAAGTATATTGGTTATATAAATTCTTTACATATAGTAACTAAAAATGCCAATTATTAGTATCTATTTTGCCTTAATTTTTATTTTAAAAAATTGTTTTGTTTTTTTAGCAGTCTTGGTCTTGGTCTTGCAATAGTTAGGCGGTCTTGGTATTGGTCTTGCAAAGTGCAAGACTAATACCAATTTTGCAACACTAATGGCCATCCATAATCGATATTATTGAAATATCGATATTGTCTTCGACTACACACTACTTTTATATAAAACAGCAAGATGAGTATATTTTTTTTCCTAAGGATTAGATGCATAAATAATTTCTAACGCTTTGCGAAAACGATGGTTTTAATATTTGATTTATTTAACAAGATTACATGACTGGTTCAAACTTTGGAAAATCACATTAAACAAGACAAAAAACTTGACGGAAACTTGCCCTTCAGTTTTTCTTTAACACAAATTCCACAGACAGACACCGTTTACTTCCTTGGTCTGCAATTTGACCGAAAAATGACGTGGACCCACATATAACAAAGAAGAGAAAAACGCTAAATCAAAGATTAAGAATTCCGAATTCACTTCTTTCGAAACATTCAAAACTTTGTAACAGCTAAAAAGATTCACATGAACAAAGTTCAAATTTTTCAAGCAAAAACATTCAGGACAATCACAAAAGCACCTTGGTACGTTAGCAACATAACCTTACATACTGACCTCCATATGCCGACTGTTAACGAACTCATTACAGACGATTCCACGACAACTTACAAGGACATCCTAACACACTTATAAATGACATGGCCACTACCAATATACCAGGTAACGTCTGTTGGAGACTGAAGAGGAGCTGGATGAGGGACCTCCTCGCCTAATGTAGATATCACGTCAGAGGAAGTGCCGCTGGGTTATCCTCTCTCTCATGCCTCACATTCAATTATGTCATTTTTCCATTATCATCCCATTCACTGATTGTCATTACCATAATGACAGTTGTGAATAAAAAAAAAATAAAGTTAAAAAAAATATCGAAGGAACAATGTCGATATTAGATAGTAAAAAAAGTAGATACTATTGATAGTAAATATTAAATATCAGAAGAAATATCGATATTTCGACCATATCAATTATCGATGTCCATCCCTAGTTATTTACGAATCCGATACAACATAAATCCGACCACACCAAAGCCTCCATGATCATGTTTCCTTCCGATTTGTGAATAAATCTCAACAATCTCAATCTCGTGGAGTAAAGAGATTTTTTCACGCTTATCTTTTTTCCCTGACCATTCAGTAGAGAAAAACTTCGTAAATATTCATTAGCACTGCACGGAGTTGTTCAAATATCATTTGATATAATTGATGGTTGTGTTATTGACGTTCCGACGAAATATGAATAATATCAGTAGATAATGATTTGTTATTCATTCACAGTAAGAAACAGTTCATGGTTCTTGTGGTAGAATATTATTTAATTAGGCATTGTTTAAACTTTAATGAATAGAGATCAGTAATATCGATAACAACGAGATGGTACGCAGGACTTAGTGAAGGTCTTAATGTGGCCGCGGGGCAAAACGTTTGCAGATTCCTAAGCTAACATATATATAGAAAAAAAAACTTTGTTCTGGGACAAAGTCCCTTTAGAACAATGAAATTGTACAAAAAGACTACTACTGGCCTAAAAGTTTGAAACAATAAATAAAATTAAAAAATTAAACTAATAAGAAAAAAAAACCTTAAGTGAACAAAACTATAGATAAAACACTTAAAACGATGAAGAAAACATTTAAAACTATATATAATGGTAAGAGATACTTATAGACCTTAAGAAATAAAGAACGAAAAAGAGACAAAATAGAATAACTTATTTTAATAAAAAAAACTTTAATTGTATATAAAAAAAGTTAGTGATAATTAAATAAAAATAATTATTTTTTAAAAAAATAACTGTATTGAGTGGCTTCGAAAGTAGGAAATACATGTACTATCCCTAACCAACAGTGTTATAGTATGATTATATGATTGATATGCAATAGGAATATAATGCCAATAGTTTGCAGGTGTCTGTTTTTGGAACAGGCACTAGAATAGGAGGTTATTGAATGTGGGTACGGAGAATATGCACACAGAGACACATACATCATTTCGTAGGACTTGGTTATTTGGAATCAGAGAAAATCAAAACGTGTAGGTCCCTTGAAAACTCAGATTCGAAAATATTCACGATTCGCAAGTTGCGCCATCAAAATTTTAGAAGAGGTTCCATTATGACAGGGTTTTGTATTTCCGAAGGGATATGTTTCGACGGGGTTATGAATTTTCGGAATGAAGTTTCAATCCAGGTTACAAGGGGAAAGCGAAGAACAGAACACAGAAAATGTAATAGTATATGGACAATTTTTATCTTGGAGGGGGGTAGAGATGGGCACTTCTGTCCTTGCTATGTATTACATATATAATTAACTGAAAGTAAAAACTCCATATAGCACATATACTTTAAAGTAAATATAACACACAAATTAATTTATAGATCATTCCAATATAAATTATTCGCTAAATAAAAAAGAAAACCTTTAAAAAATGTCTTTTGTTTTATTACTCTCTAGTGCAAAGAATTTAATTTTTACTATATATCTTTTTGGTTTATTATTTTCAGTAATCAACCATTGTGATCGACCAAAAAATTCAAAAACTTAATCCCCTCTCAAAATTTGAGGTTTCATGTTTCAGGATGCGTAGAATTCGAAAAACGAATACAACTTTTTTGTCCGTCCGCTGTAGGCGCATTTTCTCCGAAACTACTTGACCGATTTTTTTCAAATTTGGATATAAAATCAGAGGTGTCCGGATGATCCTCCATCATCGATAAAATCCTTAATGCCCCATATTTTGTCACAAATAAAACCATTCATAACCGAGCCAAATACCTATCCTTTCATGATAAACTCAAGTCCCATCTGAATCTACTTGTTTCCAGCCTTGCTTCTTCCTCGATTCCTGATAATCCTCCTAGGCGTCTGAAAAGAAGATGGCCTTATGATCTCACCTAGAATTAAATAGGGAGTGCTACCACTGGGCAGTATCTCTTCAACTCTATTAATGTCATTATTTCTAATGTGTGCATTTTTACTAGTTGTATTGTTTATACAGCTGTAAATTTCATTAAATAATTTTTATTTAAATATATATATATATTTAAAAATTGTTAACAGGAAGAAGATTAGTACCATGTTTTCAGTGCGCAGCGAAGATCAACGGACTTCTCTTAAAGCATAATGCAAAAGACTGATTGGGGTTTTACAAGAGACAAATTGAGAGAACAAACTGTCACAGCAAGGAATGTTAAATTTTAGTCTTAATGTATAGATTAAAATATTCCAACAAATTAACAGTCATGTTCTTAGGAAGTACGAAAAATATTTATACATACTAGCTTTTTTTAATATATTATTTTGAATCCTAAGACATTTTAGAAGAAAAATTTCTCTGACTGTTTTTTAAATTAATAAAGAGCTAAAAAAATCCGTTATTGTATTTTGCTTTATTCTTACCTGCCATCTGAATTAGTGTATCTTCTTGATATTCAAACAAACCTAACTGGGGTATTGGCACCAAATTCGAGATTTTTTTATTTTCATGTATTTTTTTCAAGCTTAATTCAGCTGATAAGGATTTCGAATAAAAGGTGTTCTTTTATGTGTTCTTCCTGGGATGGTACATATAATTTTCATATAATAGAATATTTTCAAGTATATTTTGACAATAACATTAATACAATGAAATACAATATAAAATTATATGTAATAATACAATTAATTGAGAGTTAAACTGATAAAGACAAAATTTGGAGGAGGGAGGGGGGTGGGAGAAATAAGTTTAATCAGTATAGAAAAAACATAAGTAACGAAAAACTTTAGAAGTATAAAGAATTAAACAAATGTAAATGAATTGGAAACATTTTAAAACAAAGAGAGATACTTTGTAATAATATTAAAGAAAGTTTCGTTGTTAAAGAACTACAAAATTTGTAACAATCAATATTCTAGACCGAGATATAAATCCTTTGAAGAAATTTAATATGCGTCTGAGAGAGAAGAAAGTTGTACACTTAAGGGACTAATAAATATTGGGTTGGCAAATAAGTCCTTTCGGTTTTTTTAGTGTGAAATAAAACTCTATGTACTATAGACATCAAATTTATTTTAATCTACAATATATTGACCATTATTTAATATGACTTTTCCCCATTTTTCCACTAACTGCATCATGTCATCTTCATAGAAGTGGTTTTTGATGTTCTCTTCCTTTTGGGATTTTTTTCCATTCATGGAGTTCTGACCGGAATAAGTGGTAATCACTTGGAGCTGGGTCTGGTGAATAGGGAGGGTGGGGATAAAGGTCCCATCCAAAGCTTAATAATTTATTCCGAGTAAACAACGAGGTGTGGGGCCTAGCGTTGTCTTGGTGGAACCTAACACCCTTCCGATCATTCATAACTCTTCAGGATGTTCTCCAAATTCGATGTTACTATATTCGTTAGAAAGCTGAATTATTGCTCTTCAAAGCAGTATGAATGTTTCTTTTTATTTAAAGCCTATAAAAGGAATAAATAAACAAAAACTTTTTATAGGTTTATTAAGGTCATTTTGTGTAGTTTATGTGGTCCTAAATTCCAGCTAAATTTCTTGTAGATAGCTAAAGTCGTATTGAAGTTGTCTTGGTGGAACACAACATCCTTCCGATTTGCCAGTTCTGGGCGTTTATATTTAATTGATAGATCTAATTTTGTTAAATGTGAGCAATCTAGAATTGAATCAATTGTTTGTGCTGATGGCAATAGTTCATAGAAAATAATACCCTTCAAACCCCACCACATGGAAAGCGTTATCTGAAATTCTTCTGGAGCCTCACTACTAGCTCTCAAAGATTTTCTACGAACTACATTATCGTAAAATATCCATTTTTCATCTCCTGTTACCAACCTTTCCAAAAATGGTTTGTTTTGTAGCCGTTTCCGTAGTGAATCACAAACAGAATTGCGTGTTGCCAAGTTGACTTCGGTTAGAGAGAGGGAGCCAAACATTAAGCCTGGAAACATAGCCGAGCTTTTGTAGATGGTTTTCTACGCTTGTGTGCGACACATTTAGGGCCATAGCAATCTCTCGCACTGATTGGGTGGAAGTTTGTTCAACAATGGCCTTAAAATTGCTCGATTCAATTTCATGTGGGCCACCAGACCGTTGAGCATCATTGATGTCAACATTTCCTGAATGAAATTTGGCAAACTAATTTTGACAGGTGCGTTCGGTTAAGGCATCATCCCCATAAAAACCACAAATTTTTCTATGAGCTTCTGCAGCACCCGAAGGTTCGATGCCGACACCAATCGCTTATTACACACCTCCCTCTACCGTTCGCCGTCCAAACCCTACCCCTTCAGATCGGCTTTAATGCTATCTTCCCATCTTCGCTTCGGTCCACCCCTCGGACGTTTACCATTCGGCACAGCAAATATTAACCTTTTAGGAATTTTCTCGTTGTTAAGTCCAACAATTTTACAAGCCCATTTGATTCGCCGGAATGAAATCACCTCAATTATATTACCCGGATACAGTTCATTCAATTCGGCGTTTCTTATTCGCCTGAACTCTCGGGTTAACTCATTCTTCTTCGGTCCGAATATTCTACGTACTACTTTATTGTGTAGTTTATTGCTCCCCATACGCGGTAATGAGCCCGCGCGAAGTCTGCAGCAAGCTTACCTTATTTAAAATAATACAACAAAATATGCCGCTAATGTTTTTCCATATTCACAGTGCAACCGTAAAAACAATATAAAGCTAGTTCCAACAAGAGTTAACAGATATATTTGTAGACATATTACAAACAGGATAAACAATCCACCTTAGGGATCTAATAAGAAGTAAAAGGAAAAATAATGAAAGACTGGCAGAATTAATAAGACTGGGAATGTGCCTCGAAGGGTAAGGACCATCATGCAGTTCAACAGAAGATAGCACTGGTTCCATGGTTTGTGACTCTTAAATCTCATCTCGACCGCTCCAGCTTAGTAAAGCTGACCAGGCTTAGGATAAGTCATGGTAGAACTAATAAATATCTACATCCAATGGATATAGCTAAGAGTGGTCACTGCCGAACACGCCAATGCTTGGAGGATCCAAGACACATCGCCTTCAAGTGAAAAAGATTCGAGATGCAAAGAAGAATTAGTTTAGGATCGCAAACTGCGGATGATGGAACTAACTTTCTTCGGTCGATGAACAAAGATAACGCCCATGACTTGATAAAGTTTTTAATTGACATAAAAACAGTTATATAATAAAAGTCGCCTCTTATTCTCTGTTAATTGTTATGAAACTACTGCCACCTCAGTTTTAACTACTATTCTTTCTAGTTTAAGTTCTATATAAGTTACATTCAATATTTAGTTGCATTCAGTGATTATCTATCTAGAAATATTAACCTCCGAGGAGTCTGAAAAGAAGATGGCTTCGTGATCTACTTATGTAAATATATTATTAGAGTGATACCAATGGGTAGTTTCTCAACAAGCGTTTTCATGTTATTGTATTATTACTGTGTGCACATTTACTAGTCGTATTTTTTATAATACAATTGTAAATATCAATGAATAACAAAAAAGAAATATTCAATAAATATAAAGTGTAATTTCATCTTACAATGACAATTAAAATATTTTATTGGCAAAATAGAACTTGCTTTTACAAGTCTTAAAGCCAAAAAAAGAACAAACAAAAAAAAAAGTTTATCATAGCGACATAAAAATAAACAGAAAAACCGAAAGGATTTATTTGCCAACCCAATATGTCAGTCCGGAAGTATATTTTATAAACATATTTCTTCAGCAACATGTTAAAGTAACGTGATTATTCATTTACTGCCAAATCTTGCACATTCGTTACCTTAACATGATGCTAAAGATTGGTTACTTTAATGTAATTTTCACTTCATTAAATATTTTTCAAGAAGATCTAAATTCCAATATATGATAAACATATAACTACTCATTTTTCGACCTAAAATGCTTCGCAAACATAGATAAGCCCGCAAAGGTAAGTACATATAAATAAATTAAAATATTAATGTTTTAGTAAGAATTTTTTTATTTTATGCAATTTGCACCTGCTCGTTTAGCAAATTTTGTTTATTTTTATTGTCTTGGTGTAATTGCTTGATTTTTTTTATTGATGTCCATTTTCTTCTTAATCTTCGTTGCTCAGGTAACAGGGAGCAGGAGATAGAAAGAGCCAGAGGATTGGAGTGATTTTGGGTTGAAGAATGAAATGTAGTGTATTTGTCGTGGATGTAGGATTTTACTGTTGGGGTGTTTAAGTCGTTATGTATAGTAGTGTTTGAAATGTACCAAGGTGCGTTAACAATTTTTCGTATAATTTTTTATTGTGCTGTTTGTATTTTGTTTATGTGTGTTTGTTTTGCTGAACCCCAAAGTTCTGCTCCATATGTCCATATTGGTCTCAGTAAGGTGTTGTAGATAAGTCGCTTGTTTCGTAAGTTAAGTGAAGATCTGTAGTCCAGAAGATGTGAAAGTTGGCTATATCATCTAGTAAGTTCTTGTCTTTTTAATTTCGTATGTATGTTATTTAAGTTTTTAAGTTAAGAGTTAAGTAAGAATTTAAGTTTCAAAATAAGGTTTCTTCATTAATTTTCCATAAAATTACTTTTCGTTTGATACCTAGTAACTCAAAATTCGTCATTTTTGAGAGCTGGAAAAGGATCTGTACAGAGGAATTACGGTATACAGAAAAATAATTAGTAGAAAAATGCCTTTTTAATCTCGATAAAAATAACTTTATTTTAAATGTATCCAAATTTTCACCTCTTCAGGCATCTTCAGAGATAATCTGTATTTCAAATCTTCATATAAAAAAACATATACAAAAATCTTTCAGAGGATTTACTATTAGATATTAGCCCATTTTTAAAACCATAATAACCTTAAAAAAATTTGTTACTAATCAACAGTATATATATATATATATATATATATATATATATATATATACTGTTGATTAGTAACAATTTTTTTTAAGGTTATTATGGTTTTAAAAATGGTCTAATATCTAATAGTAAATCCTCTGAAAGATTTTTAAATATTATATATTATTTATATATATTACATATTATATATATATATATATATATATATATATATATGTTTATATATATATTATATATAATATATATAATATATATATATATATATATATATATATATATATATATATATACATATAATATATACATCCAAATATAAAAATTTACTCGCTTTATAGCATTGCACCCACTTGTACACTTAGTCACAGAACAAAACCAAATGCGAGCAATCCTTCAAGGAGGAGAGATGCCAACATTAACATATTTAAATAATTTATATTAAAATAATAACGTAATCTGGTTTCAATTTTAGTCACGTAATATCCCTGAAGATGCCTGAAGTGGCGAAAAATTGGATAAATTTAAAA